CAGCCAGTAGGCGCAGGCAGTGCTGGGCCCACTGCGTTCCCATCTGTGGGCGAGAGTGGATCTCCAGTACTCGGTAATGGCTCGATGCATGGTCATAGCATGGAGCCTGGGGCCTTGCGAGTAGTGATTATGGATGCAAAGGATATGTCTACCGGTGATGTCAAGCCATACGTCATTGTCCGCGTCGGCGACAAGGAGTACAAGACGAAACATTCGCACAAGACGGCGACGCCAGAATGGTGAGGTAGTTTGTACGTGTATTTCTTGGCAGTAGCTGACGATGTTTTTTCTAGGAACGAATCATTCACATTCTCCGCTTCTCCTGCGGCACAACCTAGGCTGCATGCATGGATTTACGACCACAAAACGTTGGGCAAGGATAAGCTGCTTGGATCTGCCGAGATTGATGTACGTCACAGTTAGCGTGAAATCCAGTTCAGACTTTGCTCACACTAGATATAGCTTTGGCGACATCTCCAGCACGGCGCAGGGGTTTCCTCGGCCGACGTGCATGCAGAACTGCGTGAGGGTCAGGGCAAGCTCCGCCTTCGTCTTGAGTTCGACCCGGAAGCAATCAGTCCTACACGTTCGCGCTCGTCCTTCCAGTCCACGGAGCGTCCACCCGTTTCGTCACCATCGAGGTTCAGTCTCAGCCGACGGAGAGGAGCGGATCGTGACGATTAAAATGTTCACATTGTTGCCTTCTTGGAGCACATCTTTTTATCCTGTTATCATTCTTGCTTTCTCTACTCGCCTGTGCTCGCATCAGCATGTACTACTTGGACAGCTCTCAACGCATGTTTTTATTCCCCAATACGCCGTCTCAATTCACATCGTGACGATTCATACGTTTAATGCTTATCACTAACAGTCCTTTGATGATAGTTCTTTTGTACATAGTAGCGCTTGTCTACAGCAAATGTCATACGTTGCCAAATGAGTATGCTTTGGGCATCAAGTCAGTAAATGAAGCGAATTGATGTCAGAAACGTCAGTGCCGTGCACTACGCCGGATCTGTTTCCCAGTGTCCTGTGATGTTCCTAGGATAATTGCGGCCATCTCGTCGTCCGTAACAACACGGTTCTTGCCCAATTGTCTGTGAACACCCCCAGTCAGTCGCCATCATATTCTAGTAGAGTATACTGGTTGAGCCCACCTTTTTTTCTTCTTCAAGGTATCGGTTTCGCCCGCTTGTGGGACATACGCAACGTCTGGTGCATCGTGGGCGACCGCTGCCTGACGTGCTTTCTTGTCGGGTATGACGGCCGTCGAGTCCCGCGCTGGTCTGCTATCCTTGAGTGAGAGCCTGTTAAGGCTATGCTCCAGCGCGGCAAGCTTATCAGACGTTCTGCTGTTGCGGGTGGACCTCCGTGTGGCCGCAGCGACCTTGCCCGCTTTGACATCGGCTTCAAAAATGGGCAAGGGGGCCTTCGAGAGTAGTGTGTGTGACGATGGCTGCAGAGAACGTTTGCTATCCTTGGGTAAAGAAGGCTTCGTACTCGGCATATGCTCCAATTCGTCCGAATCTTCAGAGGGAGAGGTAATTATGTCATCATCCTCAGTACCCTCGTCGCTAGACCCTTCGTGGCTAGTCACGCAATCGTCGACATCCATTCCTTCCTCGGAAGTGCTGTAATGGGAGTCCGAGACGACGTCGAGATCGGGACGTAGGCTGCTGTGCTTGGTCCTCCGGCGGCCTTTGCCAGCAAGAGGCGACGTCGATCGGCTCAGTTGCGAAGAGGCATGACGCTGAGATGCAGCCAAGTTCTTTATATCCGGCTCCTGAATTTCGAGACGAAAAGTCTGAATGTTATTTCGTAAGACAATGCTCTAGACATACCAGTTCGTCTCGCTCATCATCTTGACCACTTAGTAGGTCTTCATCCTCATCGGATGCGTCTACCTGGTAACGAGTAGCATGTCTAGCTTTTGTTTGATTCAGCATGTCAATCTTCGCGTCCATTTTCTTTTCATTCTGTTCAACCTGTTACAGAGAAACATGTTAAGTCGAGCTAGATATCCACAACGAAGGAGTTCGGATTATACTTCTTTCATCAATCGTCGTTTGAACATCTTCTCCATGCTGCGCATGCGCTCCTCCATCTCCTCCATCACTTCCTCGCGAGTCTCTGCCTCAATGACAGCACATTGCATTTCCGCTTCAAATAACTACACAGTAGAGATGAGGCACTTCAGCTTCTGATGTCAGTGATAGGCCTACCTGTGCACGCAGAGCTTCAATCTCATCGAAGAGGGCGTCGACAAGAGGATTGATCGGCTCATCGTCATCTTCATCATCAGGCTCTTCATCCTCTACCTAGAATGCTCAAAAACCAAGCACGCGCGAAAAGGGTAGTACGTACCTTCAAGCACCTCAAGGTGTGCTTCACTGGCCTTTCGTCCAGGACCCTCAGTAGATATAGTAACTTTCCTTCGATGTGGGATTACGCTGTCTCGCGCCAAGACAGACCGTACAGGGAGTGCACGCGGAACGGCAGTAGCTGGGACAGTGCAAACTTCCCGTGCAAGAGCCGCGAACCTCATGACATGTGAATTTTCATCGAAACCCGTATCATAAGGGTTGACATTCACGATCATTACCTGCGACAGAATATTGGACATCCGAATTACCCTTTAAACATTACACTCACCGCCCTGCCTTCTCCAGTGAAGTAGTCCATGAGTATTTCAGTGAGCTTGCTGTGGCGGAAGGGCACAATGGCGAGCCCTTTCTTCACATCTCGCGTATCCACACGTCCTGCCGTGGTACCCAGGCTGCGCGCCAATGATCGCTGATTTGCACGAAGAGTTTCCATGCACTGCCCGAGAACCATGAGAGACTTGTTGATACTTCCTGCCTCGCGAAGACGGTCACCAGAGGTCTGAGTATGTTTTGTGCGCTCAGAACCGGCCAAGTCAACCAGCGTTAGGCGAGAAGTCTGGATTGAGGTAGGGTCCTGTTGCCAGGAGAAATTGTCATTGACGATCGTCCCTGAAGATATGAAGGACACACATTTCGCTCGCCGCGATGTACGCGCAAAATTTTGATTGTAACAAGAGCGTGACTACGGCTGCTCTGGCTGTTTGCAAGCGTGCCGAAGACGCGACGGTGCATCTGGCCAAGTCGGAGGAGTGCCTTCGCCTCGGCGGCACTGTGCACTCGAATTTGTCGAAGATCAGCAATGTACTTCCCAACACCACCAATTTCTGATGTAGATAAACCGGTATCAGATGAGGGACATGACTTGACCGACAACGCTTTGCGCGTGAGTAACAGAGGGCGAGATTGACTTGATGGCAGCGGCAGTTTTAGGAAAGACGAAGTGGGTCGTGGAATACTGGACGAGCTCGTATTCGTTGAAGATTCGTCTGAGTCTACCGAAGCAAACAAATCGTACACCTTTTCGTTGTAGACTTCAGTATAGGATAACCACACAGTGTATTCATGATTGCGATCAAGCTTGAGGACGGTAGGATCAATATCGATGTCGACGTCCTTCATATCCTCGAGTACATCGGCTAATGCAGGAGCGGTGGAGGATTGACGCAACGTCTGCGAATGCGGCTGGGACAGATGGTCGGCAAGCTCTACGCCATTCAAACGAACTGGACGATACTACAATAGGCGTGAACATCGGTCGACTGGTATGCACGAGCAGGCGTACCCGACCATCACCATGCTGACCTTCGACGCTGTTGAAAATTACATCCAATGTTCTGGGTAGAATCCCGGCGTTCCCTTTCTCGGACCCACCCTGAATTGTGTATGTTTTTCCAGAATTTGTCACACCATATGTAAATAGTAGCCCGCTTTGCCCGTCCAATAAGTCTTTCACCAATGGAAGTGTGGTCTTCTCGAAAAATTCGGACTGTCGAGTGTTAGGACGGAAAACGTGCGAGAATTTATACATAGATGACGGGTTCACGCTCGATAATCGCGAATGGTTAGATGTGTATGGATCAGTCATGCGGACTGTAGTGTCAGAAGTTGGATCAAGATAAGGCTCGGAGGATGGTTCACAGTCTCCCAGATGGGGACGTATACGTAGGAACGCCTGTTGTTACTGTATTATCGCACTGCAATGGGGATCTATACATCAAACAAATTTACATACCTTGATGGGCTCTCTATCTGTTTCGGTCGAAATGTCCAAGGTATTAGCCTTGGCCTTTGTCGCAGTCATCGTCATTCCGCCGGCGGCCATGTCCCGGACCTCAGGCGAGTTCGCTCTGTTGAGTAGAGGTTTCCTGCTCGACAGTTTTCTTGCTACAGGTTGAGAGGCTGTAGATGGCGCATCGCCGTTTGCCCTGCTTGTTGCTGTAGCTCGTGTTGTCCGGGTGGCCGGCGGAATGGTACTCGTCACGCTCTTGGTACGAGCGGATGCACGCGTAGGAGCTGCCTTTGGTTTGCTGGACATTCTTAGTCAATAGACAGCTAGGTATGATTATCCACAAGTAGTTGTAAGCTTCATCCTCAAGGCTTCACATGTGTAGCAGCGTGAGTTCACTTACGGGTGGATATATAAGCTCTCAGACCCGCTGTCACCTTGGCCCTTGATAAGAATGGCGCGTATCGCTGGTCCTTAAGAATTATCAAAGCCAAACGCGCTGTACAAGCGAGTGGCTACAATGAACACGGCGACACGCGAATGACACGAGGGTCGCGTCGCAGTCAGGTGACCGTCGCGTCGCCTTTGACGAGCATTGCGAGAACCGAACGAGAACTCTTTGGTGTAAACCGTCACGGTCAAGGCTTGGTTGTGTTTCTAGACTTACATAATTTCTTGATTTGAATCGTAGGTTGTAGGGATGGCCAACAAAATCTCCCCAAACAGGCGGCGGTCGATAGCTGTGCTTAGCCAAGGTCAGACCTCTCGCCACAGCCATCGCAGGCGTGCATACAGCATCGCACCAGGCGAGAAGCTCAGTCCAGCCGCCAAGACTCGTCGCTCCCTCGTAAGTAACGCCCTGCAGCTTATATCACACTTTTGATCCCGGTAGCAGGCACCGCGCAAAAGCATTCTCAAGGCCACCGCCAGTCTACCAGATAGCACCGAATCATCCGCCGATGACAATAACACACAGTCCATGGACTTTACTGAGGTTCATAACAATTCGCGAAAGTCTCTAGGTCGCCGAGTTAGTTTCGCTAGTCACGCGCACGTCCGTCTCTTCGAGCGAGAACAGAAAGGCAACAACAGCACAGGCTCCTCATCATCTCCTACAGACGACTCGCCCGGTGCCGATCGAAACGACGAAGAAAGTGAGAACATCGATTCCAATGCATCCAACAGCGGCCGTCGTAGCTCCGTGCGCCGGTCGTCTGTGGCATTCAGCGAGTTTGGTGAGCGATCAATGGATCTAGATATGGATGACACTGCGCCCTTGCCTCAAGACTTTCTTAAGCACAATCAATACCAGTCGACATCGACAAATTATGTTACCAATGACGATGAATTCACGGATGAGGAGGAAGATGACGACGAAGATATGGAAATCACAGAGGCCATCCGGCTAAATATTGAGCGAAAACGCTCTCTCTCTCTTGGCCAAGGACGAGTCTCGTTGCCTCCCCCCCGACGATCATCTGTAGTTCCACTCACATCGTCCCAGGGACATTCCGAGAACCAGCTCCCTTCACAGCAACCATTACCTCGTCTCTCACTAGACCGGGAGCCGCATGCACATGATCAAGATGAGGATCCAATCGCCAGCTCCGTCCAATCCGAGTCGTTTATGTCTGAAGGACTTTCTGGAGACGACTCGCAACCTGTAGAATTCATCATTCCCATTTCCCGCTCCTTGCGTCCTCCTGAACCTCCCAGTGATGCATGGCTACAGCTTCGTGCTATGACTCATGCAGGAGACGAACCATATGAAACGCCAGCAGCTGAAGATTCGTACGAGGAACCAGGTCCATCACACCAATCTGACGCTGGTGCTGAGGAGGGCGAGACTATGGAATTTACAGAGGCTATGGGTCGCGTTGTGGGGTCGCGTCCCTCTTTCGCTCTTCCACCGCCCTCGGATCTTATAGGAGAGTCTAGTACAGCGCAACCCGAAGATAGCCTTGGTGGCAATGACCCCATAGATGCTAAAGAGCAGCCCTTCCAAGATGATAGTTTCACGAGTACGGAGGACAGCTTCGCAGATGATGTTGGGGCAGACCATACGGTCAATATGACAAGTTTGATACGAGCGAGTCTTGGCACGCAGGACTCTTCCATGGAAGTTACAGGCATATACTCTGGAAGCGGTGAAGATGAGGGAGTCGTCAAAGTTCCGCTCACTGCCTCTAAGGAGAAACCTGCGGCACCCGCCCTCACTGAGTCTGAAACCCACCCCATCCCAGATGTACCTGTCAATGATTTACCAGCCGCAAGTAGTGTACAGGCTGTTCAGCTGTCTGTCTTTACCGCTCCAAACTCAAGTCGGCCAAGTGTTTTTTCAGCGCCTGGATCAAAGACACCCGCTATACCCCCTCGTTCACCCTCAAAAATACCTTTGTCCGTGATGGCGCCTAAGCCTTTCAGCTTCAGTCTCTCTCGGTCTAGTGCGTCCTCTTCTAGTGTACCCGCGATCGGAAAGGTTGCTACTACTATTGCTCCTCAGTCCCCCGTAAAGCACCAAGCTCGCACCGGAACGGCTGCCTTTGCACCTCCTAGTGCGCGCAAGTCACCTATGAAGCGTCCAGCCCCACCCGCTGCTGAGAGTGCCCATCAACCAAGTCCCACCAAACGGGCTGCAATAGGCAAACATGAGCCCATAAAGAAAGCGCCATTTGGAAAACCCATTTCGCCTGCACGGCCACAGGGTATCAGGCGTACGAGCATGATACGGAGGCCGTCCGGTTACTTTGCACAGAGAAAGAGCTTAGGGACTGGTGCTTTGCCTCCTGCTGGCTCAAATGGTTCTCCGGCGAATAATCAAGCAGAGAGTCCCACAAACCAAATTGGACAAGGCGCGAGACCTGGACGGGCACGCGCTAGTCTTGGGATTGTGCCCACTAGTCAAGATTTCGTATTTGACCCTGGTGCAAACGCTGGCAACACAGGGGAACCTTTATATCCAGATGTTTCCCGAATTATTCGAGAGGATCCTCCAACCCCCTCTAGAAGTAATAGCCCCGCACCAGCTGTAGCAAAGGTATGCGAACGGGAGGCGTTCCGACAAGCGATTGCTACACCCAGTCCAACGCGCGGATCACCATCGCCAGCTTCACCTCAGCCCAACCATATATCACCCGCTATTGCCAGATCTATTTCATCCACTACCATAGGGCCAGAAGTACATACTTTCGATACCGTCGCACCCACAACGGAAGTACCGCTCGATATTACCGAACTCGCTCCATCACACGAGATTGGACCCATGAAAACACCTGTTAATGTGGTCACAGCCGCTGAGCAATGGCGGGATGAGGTAGGAGAAGAAGCTGCGGCGTTTGACGACGAAGGCGTAAGTGTAGGCTTTAGTATGACTTAGCCTTCTAACGATAACGTTCCAGCCTCCTATATCTATCGAACAATTTTTTGCGATGACAGGAATACGCTTCATGGATGAGCTCACCATGCCCAAACCTCGTCAATCAATTGCTCCTCCTCCACAGCTTCGATCACGGTCACGTCGTCGTTCCTCCACGGAGCTCAGTACTGAACTAGAAGACGACCCCGTCCCTCTGGCAGAGTTCGCCGTGACTATGGCTGTAGATTTACCGCGACTCGAGCTATTTACCGCGGTCGCGAACGATCTCGGTGCCTGGATCGAGGATAGCAAGAAGATTTGCCTCCAAGCAGAAAAGGAAACAGACAAGGTGACGCCCGAGTTATTCCGAGATTTCGTCTCTGCCGATGATTCGGAGAAGGCCCTTCTGATCGTACGTACTTGTGTGCAGCACCAGGGAGAGATATCCCTCATGTCTGTTTTTTCGAATTATAGCACCAGCTTAAGCTCATCAAGGCGAATAATTATGGCACCGCAAAATCTCAGTGGTATGATTGGAAAATGGACTGGACAGAAAGATTATATGGCAGAGCACAGCAAGCATTTTCCAACCTTGAATCGGTACGAGTCACCTGTATTAGACTTGTCGGCAGAATTGTCATTTTCTGCAGGACGCTCAAACGCTTGCGAAGATTGTGAAACAAGCGCAGGAGAACCTGCCCGACCTACGCCAGGAATACGCCCAAGTGATGGCTGAGCTTGAGCGCGAGCAAGCTAATATTGCTGAGATCGAGAATTCCGATCAGGACTATTTGAACGAGCTGAAGGCAACTATTTCTGAGCAGAGGTGGTTTAATATTCTTGATAAACTACAATGAGGCTGATAGATTTGGCTAGCACTGAGCTCGAAATTTATCGGACCGACGTCTCGGAAGGACGATTAAAACTTGAACGGATGGAAGAAAAACTTGCGGAGATTGAGGAGCAGAAGCGAGAGACGTCTCATGCTATTGCACAAGCTCAACACGTCATCCATATTCAAAAGGAAAGTACGAGCGTCGAGGTGTTCAGATTAAAAGGTGCGTAGAATTATCGGATGATCACACTGTCATTCATTTGATATCTTGTCAGATGAGCTAGAGGCTCTGCAAGCCCTTCACTTGTGGCAGATCACGACAATCACAGCTGATGTGATTGTCTTGTTTTACAATGCAAGCTATGAGGTTACTGTTCCATGCGTGAAGCACAGGCCGAACTTGTGGAAGGCAACTGTGTCTCGAACCCAGCATGCTCGAACACGAGAGCGAGATGTCTTTCCCCATTTCACGGATCTGACGCTGCGCGCCGCTCAACAGCTGCTCTCTGAACTCCCCGAAGAGGGCAACGTTCGCAAGGTAGCACTATCTGACACTAAATCAACTTGCCCTGATTGTGATTGCTCCATCGCAGATCGTGGAACGGCTCGGTGGCTTCTGGTCGTCATGCGCTCAAGTTCGCTCGCAGTTCACTTTCTTGGCTATCAAGTATCCACTGTTAGTCGAAGTCGTCTCGCCAGTGGACGATGGAATACTTGCACTACACGCCAAGGCTACCGTTTTGTTTCCGGCGGCCAAAGGAAAGGCATTTATATCTTTCATATTTGATTCAAAGACATTTTCTGCTTGGCCCATGTCGATCGGTTCTCTGAAAGCGGATGTCGAGGTTGCCTATGGCCGAATTCAGTGAGTGTCTTAAATTGTGTACTATGATCCCTGTCTTAACTTGCTTCGCAGACGAGATGTCATCTTAGACGCAGTGATGGGTCGTTTGAGTCAGGCCACTCCTGCGGATAGCCACGGATGTTTATTGGATGCTTGTATTGAAGCTACGGAGCGATACGAGTGATATTGTTATTACCACCCACACAACCCCCCTAGATATAATCATGGTCTGTAGCTATACCTCTATACCCTGACTTGTAATGACTATTGTATACATATACCGCTCATTCGCACACGAATGTACTGCATTGCGAGATGTACGCCTGAACTAGGAACCTCGCGCCGCAATTGGTCTGTTGCAGGCAAACAATCGTACACAACGCGAGGACACTGACGCAAACGCAGCCGCTCCAGTCCTGGAATCCAGCGACAGTGCGTTTCGGCTCAGCACATTTGCTGGTCAGCGGGCTCGCCTTTTCCTGCATATGTTCTTGTCATGACTTCGCCGCCCTCTTCTCTTCGTGATTTCTACGCAGCTCCTTCCAACGCATGGTCCTTTATACCTCCTCTTGCTCCGGGTGCGCCTGAAAACTCTACAGGCTTATACGAGTCGCCCTCTTCATCATCGTATCAGTGGTCTACTCGCACCAACGCGAGCCCACTCTTCGATCTCTCTACCGGCTATGCCGAACATGATGCAGGTATCAACGTCACGGTGGTCGTTAAAGGACTGCTTGCCACCGCAGCTATGCAGTATTGTACTACTGCCATAACCATGCCGTGGCAGGTTGGGAGGACGCTGTTACAGGTGCAGTGGGTTCCTCGGAATACCGGAGAAGTCCCACCTGGCGCTGTGCTTGCTACGGACATCGTTGACGAGGACGGCGAGGTACGCTCCTTACAGCACCCTGTTTATACGCGACCATATTCCATTGATGCGTAGGCATACATCTATCTCCATTTAGCTCAGTGATTCTTCCAATGACAACGACGCATATTTCGCTGATCTCAGCGAGCTGGAACCGGGGTCAACACACCGGCCACCACTGAGACCAGCTGACGAGCGTGGCTATATTGTCCGGCAGACAGTACTTGAGGAAGGGACAATACCGGAATACACCATTCCCGTTGGGACTACAGATGGTACTTGGAGTATGATCAAACAACTCCGACGTTTTCGAGCTGAGGGTTGGTTTTCGCTGTGGAAGGGTATGCGTGTCACCGTCTGACGCCAACATCACTTAACACGTCTTGCCAGGTTTGCTCACCACTGTGGTCACCGATGCGCTCTCGGCCGGCTTGCGTCCCATCTGCTCCAGTTTTCTCCAGGCCACATTCTCTCCTCTCTACCCCAGCCTATCATCTGCTCCACCCAACCTATCATCAAATCCGCTCTTTCTCCCTGTAGCCTCACATGTCCTCACAGGCCTCTTACTCTCTCCCTTAGACCTAATTAGGACACGACTCATTGTTCAGTCTGCACATCCGCGCTACCGCACATATTCCGGTCCTCTCGATGCCCTCGGCCAGATTCTAACGCATGAGGGCGGTTTCCGCGGAATCTATCTTCACCCACATCTCCTCATCCCGACCTTACTCGATTGCACGCTACGTGCGCTTGTCCCGCTCGTCCTTCCCGGCTTCATTGCGTCCCATCTTGGCTTTGGCGTGAATCTCACTCCCGAGACTCATCCGTTATTGTGGACGCTTACGACCCTGGTGGGCGATTGCGCGAGTTTCCTAATCACGCTCCCGTTCGAGACCGTAAGAAAACGACTACAAGTGCAGGTACGTGGCACGGCAAAGCCGTTGCGAGCATGCGTCGAGCTGCGACCAGCACCCTATAATGGCGTGGTGGATGCAATGTGGCACATTGTCACTGAGGAACGCTCGGACTTGCCCATTAAATCCAAGAACCAACGACGGAAAGCCGAAAATAAGGACAGGGACAAAGAAGCAGATGCCGCTATCGAGGAGAATGCGAGCTGGTTGCGTAACACCGGCATCGGTCAGCTGTATAGAGGGTTGGGGATCAGAGTAACGGCGAGCTTGGTCATGTTCGCACTAGCAGTAATCGGAGGCGATGAACCTGACGCTGGATGGGCGGAGCTGTAAGCGCGTATAGGTGTTCAGGTGTTCGAGTTCTTCCAGGGGCCATTACAATCTACGACTCAATTGCATGTCATCGTAGTACGCTATATCGTCATTATCAGGATGAAACGTCAATCGATCTCTCTACCTTTAGTTTACTTGAGCCTTGATAAACTGACGCGGCGATTCATGCGTACACGTCATCGACCATCAGAAATGGACTGTCGAACGAGAATGGAACAAGATGTGGTCGCGTGGGGGTCTCCGTCTCGGATTTACGGACACGAAGGGACATCTGACAACGGCCCAAGATGTGATCTGCCTGAAATGCAATATTACTGTGTTGCAAGAAAATACCAGTTGGTATTACTTGGTAGCGTGCGGCCGCGGGTACAGCCAAATCTGACAAACAGTAGCAATGGAATCAGAACCATAGAAGCTGTGAGAGTAGGGTAATTCACATATTAAAAATGTCCAATCACGATAAGGATAAACTTCGCTGTTCAAAATCACACCTTAGGGTCACCCTGATACTCGGCCTTCTGCGCTAGTTTCCGTGCCAGTGTGGGGGGTATGACCTCGAGTTGCACAGGTAACTCCGCCGGATGGCCCTGCCCAAGCTAAGTTAGCAGACAAACCACTGACGATTGATCATTGTGTCCGCACATGGGCAAGATGATACCGCAAACCACTTAGCTGCTTATATTCATGCCGGCATTGTTGGTGAGGACACGGGTATATCTTCTTGGACTTCGGTCGAGATCCGCCGGCACTGTTGAGTGGGGCATTCGTACTGTCTTCAGGGGCGATGCTTGTCGCACTCGCGTTTGAGAGCGCTTGCTGGAAGTGTGTCTTCGAGCTGTGGAATGTCATTATTATGAACAAATGCGCAACAGATAGGGTGGCACCTACACTTGAAGATGGTACTGCAGGCCGTTGATACTCTGCAACTAGTGTTACTGGCTAGCTTCAGATTGGAGATGGCGAGGGGGTGCGCCCACCTTCCAACTTTTCTTGCATCCAGCGAGACCACATCTAAACGGAGTGCTGCCGCCAAGGTCTGCGGCATGTGAGCTCTTGTTATGATCCGACAGATGTTTGGAAGTTGCGAAGCATGACTTGCTCGCTTCTGTGTTTACGGGCCAACAATCTGGGTGCCCACATGCATAGGCAAGAACTGCGGAGCTGCGTGACAATTTGTCATCTGCGACTGAGGGACGAGAGGTAACTCACTTGGTTGTGGCTGTCAATACAGAAGAAAGCCGGGGCGTGTGTCCTTCTCGAGTTTTACTACGTACTACCGTAGCACTTTTCGCTTTCTCTGCTGGTGTGCGATAATACCTGTGGTGACTTGCAGACTCAGGAACTGTAGAAACAGGTGCTGGAGTTTGTATGGGAACGCTGATTTCAGGCGTCAGAGTCATCGCAGAAGATGTTCGCGAGGCAAGAGTATGGTCAGGAAGAAAATGTTTTGACAGATCCTCATAAGGAACTTCTGTCGGGCCTGCGTCACAACGTTCAACCGTATCCCCTCGTATCGTGTCAGTAGATTCATCGCTGACATTCCCGCAGTCTCCATGAGGAATGAAATCCTGGCCATCAGGTATGGGTGGAAGAATATGCGTATCCACTGAGTCTGAGTCATGCAATCCTGTATAGTAGGGAGGGTATTGTGAATGATGAGAAGAGTGGGGATCGAATGGCGAAGCAACATGTATGTGCTGTTCAACCTGACAGCTATCTCGGCGCACAGTAGAAATCGCGGTCAAGCCATCCTGCGTCGAGTAACCTTCGACAGGGTCGGGTAAGGACGGCGACAGGTCTGCAAGAAATTCCCTAGGGTCAAGGCAGAGCTCTTCGTGTTGCGGACTTGATGTCTGAGTCCAAATAGGGACATTTGCCGAAGTCGAGCCCAACGGAGGAGGGTTACTCGATGCGCCCCGCGCGCCAGCGATGCGTCTGCGCTCCAGCATCCTCCATCTGCGCATGACTCATGAGCATTAGATTGAGCGAAAAAAACAGAGAGGTCGTTGCCTGTTGCGACACCCAAGTCCACTCCGATTTAACTCCTGCCCGACCTGCCCCCATTTGCCGCCCAGCCTCGCGTATGCACCCAAAAGCGTCGTGTCGTCCTCGGTCGTCCACTCACCTCTATTCAAAGAAGGATCCAGAGCTTCCCGGTAGCGCTTGGAGCAAGCGTCGTCTGTACGCCCTGGGATATGTCGTGCAATGATGGCCCATTTAGTTGAGTGCACCGCATACAACGACAAAAGGAGTTGATCTTCTTCTTGTGTCCACGCCGACTTCTTCACCGAAGGAGATAGAGAATGCAGCCATCGCTTGAGAGAAATAAGACACCGTCAACTCCCGAAATAGCTGAACGAAGACTACTTGCAGAATTGTGCGCACCTTTCTGCACGCCTTGTTTGTGCGCCCGGGGATAGAGAGGGCGACAGTTTTCCAATTGTCGTTCTCTCCGTAGATTGCGACGGCCTGTGTAAGAAGACTGTCCTCTTCAGGGGTCCATGGCCTGCCCACGGCTCTCTGCATGCTTGCTTTGGTCTGAGGGGCAAGGGCGGCGAAGTCACCGTGCATATGAGATCTCTTGATCTTATCTGAATAACCATATATTCATATTCCCATGAACAAGCGCTTATTATTTACTGAGTCAATGCGCTTTGCGTCTGTGAATTTCTATTTGACATATTTATAATCCTCTTTACGACGATGCAATCTCCCGGACACATTGTGAATGTGCTGTCCGCATTGTTGTAGATACATCTAAGACGTATTATTACTATACAATATTATCAGAACATTTTATTTACCCTTTATCATTTTCCTTATACGGCACCTCCGCTGCGTATCGATAGAGACGCCCGGGCCAGCGCGACGACTTCCCTCAGGCCCCGATTATAATATCCCGGGCTGAGGTATGTTCGTTTCCATTCCTACGTACCTATATACAACTGCACTGACTTGTACACAGTCTCTCTTTGCTATAGACTTACGTTACGCATCAGGTCCCCTCTGTCAGCTTGAGACAAAGTCGCGGTATTGCGACCACCTCCATGAGCCAAGCTTGAACTAGGGGCGTCTGAACGGAAGTTGAAGACGCTGAGGTGAAACTAAAGCGGAAGGCGCAAGTGGTCCTGAGATCCTCGGCGCAGAAAGACTATCATAAATGACGATGCTGAGCCCCAAAGCCCGTCGGCTGAGGGGCGGGGTTGCCGGCGGCGCATTACTCGAACTACGCCTACGCAGAAGCTCTCAACGCTGTTCAAAACCGACGTGGAGGTCGGAATTTTGCTCTTCCATGTGAAGGCGGGCATGGCATGTATCCGTCTGTCTCGGAGGCGCCACTATTTTAGTCCGAGGCGGTGGGTAAGTGCTGGGCGTTGATCCCGAAGCCTCTGCAAGTGCTGGGCGCGCGATATAATATTGAGGCTCGCAAAATGCGTGTTTGTGAGCAGGTATTTGACAAAGTTATCACGGTATGTGCTTGTGCTGGACATATTTTGATTTGCGAGTGCTTGCATCTTGCATGGACTGTCTGCTAGTGGTCCGTCCATCAGTATCAGACCGAGTAAGCAGTCATCATCATTATATACGCCGCTGCCGACTCATGACATGCTGAGCACAGGAGCAAAGAGGAAGTTATCTGCCTCTTCCTGCACGATCCAATTCGCGTCCACCATGGACGTTACAGAACGTTGACCGCCGAGTGATCCTGCGAAGTCGCACGGATCTAAACTTGCGCGATAGGCCTATGTTCGTGTCGGCAGTGTATGGCGCTGGCCGACGACAGCATTAAGGGATGCGGTCAATTTGCAACTATGGTCAGTCCGGCCGTGGTCGAGAGGCACCGCGCTAGAAGACAGCGACAAGCCGAAGACTGCCCATTGGCTGGGGAAGATATCGGCCAGACGGATGAGAAGAAGTTTATATTGGACCGTGTGCGACCGACGCCATCCTACTCCAGGGGGGGTTCGGTATTTATGGCATGGAACTGAATGGGAGGCGGCACCCAATCGGCTTATCTCTGGAGGGCTGGTTGCTCCGCAGCCTCGAGTTGGGAGCGAGGACATGAATCAAAGTGTACCTGGCCACCACTAACGCCATTTCAGCCGGAGTGGTGGGATGCAGTTTCTGCGCTCGGCGACGATGGCCGAGCGTCGAAACGGCCGGCAGGATCAACGTTGAGAGTGGTGGCATGGAACTACACGTCCACGCTCGGCGTGGGTGGGCTGACGGAATGGACGACGGAGGCAGGATGCAGGTCACGGAGGTGCGAGCGTCGCCGCGCGAGGCTAAGGGGTGGGTGGGGATCCAGACGGAGGGGGGAGGCTCGAGCCCGTTGAATGAAGCGTAGGGCCTGAATCTCTCCGGGGTCCATGCGATCGTGAGCGCCGATCTGTCACTTGTGGGAAGTTGGGGCCTGCGTCCTCCCCCCTGGCTCAAGGTCCGTCACCCAGACCATAAAAGCCGCTCTCACCCATCCATGCCTTATATAATTCCTCAGCCGCTTCCAACTCCCGTCGTTCCTTCGCCCGACCCTCCTGCAGCACGATGCGTCTCCACTGGTTCTCCATCCTCTCCCTCGCTGCCCTTCTCCCCATCGTCTCTGCTGCTCCCGTTCGTATTCTCTCCCTCTCTTCCCTCCCTTGTCTGACATCCCCCTAGCTCCCCGCACCCGCTTTCGAGGTTCGCGATGCTCTCGATCAAAAGCGTGACATTCTCGAGGAGGTGAATCCATCCTTCCCCTCGTATTGTGGCATCTCTGATGCCGTTGTCGCTGTCCGCCTACTAGCGTCAAGGCTGGCACTCTCCCTCCTGGTAAACTCCCGGACACCCATTCCATCTGCGGACATGTGAGTGTGCATTTCCCGCTTTGTACTTCGATTTGACACGACCCCGTCAGCTGATCCGCGTATGATTGCTTCCTTGCTCCATCTGCGCTGCCTTTCTTTACCGTCCGCATTCCCCTTCACGGGGCCTGGAGGCTTTTAATGCTTCCTGTTAGCCGCAGTGCCCTATCCTCTCTTTATTCACTAGTTTTATTATCGTGGAAGTGTCAGGTTGTACTGGTAGCTGTATCTCTCTACAATTCCATACCCGGTTGCTGTTTACACTGTTCTCGTCAAACACCGTCGAAGGCCATTTCGTCGAGCTACACGCTGAATATTTTATCCTGATGATCGAATGATAGCAGGTACCAGATTTTTAGATTTACGTCACTCAAGTCTTGGTGTTGAAATGACCAGACTAGACCGTCGACTCCGAAGCGGCATTCTGGGTTTTAGCGGGCCATGATGTTAAATGCTGAAGCGCTCAAGGACGGTAGCGAAGGGCAGCGAATTCTGCATCATTCGTCGGGAGCGAAAGTTTTCGGTGACAATGGGTGTACCAGCTTAAAAAATTTCAAGGTCAGCGATCTGTTGTCGGGCGACAGGATCCTTGAGCGTCTCGTCTCGACGTTACAGCGTTAAGTTGATAAGTAGTGGACGAGGCGATTCAGTCATCCAAGTCTCGTCAAATACTCTTCCGAATACTCTGCCGACCTGCGACCTTGCCAACGTCGCGTATTGGTGCGGACGTGACTACGCTTCCACGGTGGCACGTACAATCGCCGAGGCTTCAGTTCCGTGTGATCGGGGAATGATCGTCGTGTGCAGATTTGGGACCACCACACTCGCTCAGTCGGCACACCCACATGCATTCAGGTGCTCGATCAGCGCTCAGCAGCGGCAGTAGACTTAGCTCATGGTACATTGTACATGTGTCACAAATCATCATCAGAAAGCAGGAAGCCTGCGCCATCATGTCAGCTGTTGGACATCGTGTTCCAATGTGAAAATATCCACCGAGCGCCTGTAAGGGGTCACAACGCCCCAACTCCTTGCGTTAATACAGAGCGATCATGCTAAGATAAAACGGACAAAAGCTCCAATACAGTCCCCTCTCGCCGGAGGCTGACATAGTGTGCCGCTCCAGATCAGTCCTATGACGCACGGTCCAAATGAGTCTCGCACCACGGTGAAAAGGACGCGCTGACTCACCCATAGTTTTATCAAGCCATCCCACGATGCAGTGACAACTTTTGACTGTTCGCGTAGCCGGACGGCCCGTAAGTACTGCGCTAGTTACGTACCATCGACCACTCACCGTTTCATGGGGCAACCACTCGTGAGCAATAACCACCTTTGAGTGGGCTTTCAAGCGAGACTTGATGCGGCCGGTTTTCCATTCCCAGAACACCATATTTCCCTCTCCGTCCCCGCTGCTTATCCACTTACCATCGGGCGAGAACCCGACCTGGCACGCGTATCCCGCTACCGAATGGCCTGCGAAACGCTTATTTCGTGCTTGTCTGAAATTATCAGTGCTGTACACCAGAATCTGGTTGTCAAGAGACTGGGCGGCAAAATATTTTTCTGCGAGTGAAGATTATAAGCACCCACAAAGGCAAATAGATGACCAATGAAACACACTGCTGGGGTGTATTGTTACCGCAGGCATTGAATGCATATGCGGCTCGGCGATATACTTGATCACAACTGGAATGTCGAAATCCCACGCACGGATCGTCTTATCATCGGATGTAGTGACAAATCGTCGATTCTCGTCAACAAAGGTGATTGTATTGACTGGCCCGAGGTGCTGGTCGTATTCCTGCGTGATTTCTCCGGAGTTGATGTCGTACTGTGTAGACCATAATCAGCATGATTGAGTGTAAGTGAGAAGGAATCAGAAGGGAGAAGGCGAACCTGAATAATTTTCTTATCCGACATACCCGCGAGGAAGATATTCTGTTTGTCCTCATCTGGATGGAATCTGATGACATACGGAATCTTGCCGTTGCTGAATCGCTTCAAGCACTGGCCTGTCTCCGTGTCCCAAAGTTTCATCTGTCGGTCGTAGCCGCATGATAAAAATTTGCGTCCATCGTTCGAGAAAGTTACGTCCTTGACAGCCTTCATATGTCCATGGAAGGTGCGGAGACAATTGCCGTGAGTATAAACGTCCCATAGCTGTCTGGGAAGTGAATACCATTTAACATATGTGACAGCTAGCATGCTCACCTTGATCTTCGTGTCCATGGATCCGCTGAGCAGCAGGTGACCTGTATTCGGGAACAGGCGCACAACAGACACTCCCTGCGTATGGCCAGTCCACGTGTGTATACAGACCTTCGGAATAAACGATTCCTGTGAACCCGCCTCGGACTGTATTTGCGGTGCCTCTGCAACAGGTGGGTGCATGTACGTCCGTCCTTGGTAGTCGTGCATTGACTTCCCGTGGTAAACAGACGACTCCAGACCGGGCGCGCCGCGCTTTGGTTTCGCCTTTTTCACTTGTACAGGCTCCTCCGGCTCTTCCTCGGATTCCTCAGCATCGTCTACCTCCTCTCCAAATGGCAAGCCTTCGGGCTCGTCGCCTTCCCACTTTGACCACGGACCTTCATAAGCACCATCGCCTTCGACAACCTCCAGGTCACCCTTCGGTTTCCGCTTCCGCTTTAGTTCGTTTTTCTCCTTCTTGGATGTTTTGAGCGCCCCGATTGTGGCAAAATTATTGGCCTGTGCTTTGTCTAATGAGCCCAGTACTGCGGGCGCGTTCGGGTCCACCGAAGGGTTAGCAGAGTAACCAAGGATAGCATGCGTCATATGCTGCTGACGAAACGCATGCTCCGTCATCGCCTGCTCTTCTACGTGACCAGAGAGCGCGTTCTGGTTAAGAAAACGGTTGCGATCCCCGAACGGATTTTCGGGGCCTTGGACGGGTAAAACCATGTCCGAGTACGGTATGTTGACATTCATGCGCGTGTCCGTCGGTCGCGTTATAAGAGAGGTCTGCTTCATGGGATCCTACGAGCAATACGGGCTATTTAGTAGCAAAATATGGAATCGTACTCGAACACTCACTTCAGCAAGAACATCTGGCGCTGCGGCAGGTAGAGCTGGCGCAGAATTGCTTTGTTCGACAACTAGACGCTGTTTCTTCGTAACAGGTAGGTATGAAAGCCCAAAGACATCGTTGGTCGCCCCGAGAGTATCATTATCTTCGTCCGAGGAGTAGCCCTGGAGAAGAGACATGATTGCAGCAAACAAGAGCAAGATGTGGCTCCGTTACGTAACCGGATAAGTCACTTAGATCTCTTGATCAAGAGATCTAAGTACTTATCGCATCTCCGACACAATTAGTCACGCGATCGATCTAGTATCGCCAAAATGCGGTCTTCAAGGGTCTTCAAAGCTTCACTGTTCAGTTCCGAGTCTGTTCTACCCTCACACACGCGGACGCACAAACTGAAAACTACGAGAATACGACGTTCTTCAATGAAAAATATTATGTATGGCCTAGAGCTGCCAGTAGTACGTGTAGGCTGCTCAAAGAGTGGTTACATTACTCGTTTGCAGTCTTGAGTCCGTACGCGTAGCCTGGTCATATCACCGACGGCAGAAGGTAAGTCAGGTGTACATATGCCAATATTCAGCTCACTCATCAAGGCAGGCAAATTGGTTTTCACTCTAATAGACAACTTAATATTACAGAATGCATGGTGCTTTTTCAATCTGGAAGTATCGTGCTAACCATTGCCTCCAAGAAAACGAGAGATAACCTCCCTAGTCTTTTCGACTTCGTGTTCAATGGCAAATGTTACTATCTGAGAGATAATTGATGCCAAACTGTCTATCAACGGATGGGAGTTGTATATTTACGGCGACTCTCCCGTACTGCACGAAGGAATATTACTACATACACGTGGTACACTCAAACGCTGGTACAGTGTGACTGTCAGAGTACACCAGCTTGTCTCCGTCATTCTAGGATCGCAGATTGTTGTTGTGATCTGCAATGATCTTCATCGCGATTGTCAAGTGAAGACGTGTGCCATCCCCCCACAAGTAGGTGAATATCGTTCTCAGCTACTCGTTCTCATATAGGTGCAAAGATGTCGCCCGGATGTAATTGATGCCCACAATGCTGGTATATCGACTTGAAGCACTGCTCTCAGCACCAAGGATGACTTACTGTTCAGCTGTTTAGCATGAGCTGACTCTGACATGACAATACCTTCTGCCTGAGGCAGCAGAGAAGACCAATAGCACTAGAAAGGAACCAGAAAGGTGCCAACTGAATAAGACAAGTCATTCCTCTTTTCCAAATTTCCCCGCCAGGGAAATGCCAGTCCAAGTTTCTCTGTGATGTGACTGTGATGCATCGAGATTACAATGACCATAGTAGGGGCCTTGCACCGAAGGGATGGGCCGAAGTTGGTGTTCAGAGGGGGTGATGCGCGCAGTATGGGAACTTGGAAGGCATCATCGATGCATCATCGAGTGCCTATTTGTTGCACGCCATCATGCTGTCTTCCGATGAGCTGGTGTTGACAGTACTCAGCGTCAGACGACCATCACGCGCCGCTATAGAATCCGACCAGGAGCTCTGAGCTCCCTCACCAGGCATATGAACACAAGACCTTGGATTAAATTGGCCGCTCAACCTTATCTTTCGGCTATGGAGCGCAGCCGGTACAGTGTTTCGGTGGTCCTTGGGACACCAGTTCGCATATCTCGATTTTTGCACTCCATACTTCGAAATTACACCAAATTAGTACACACAAAGTTTGTAAAATGCCTTCAAGCCTTCTATAAATTTTACCGGGATAAAATATGCAGTGCACCTTCCAATAGAATCCAACTAGTTGCCTGCGCTCGTTTTCGGGCGATTTGGGTACAGTGCGACATCTCGTGCGAGACGCTGTGATCGAGTGTGATTGCTACTTCTCTCAGTCACCACGTGGGACGTGCAAGGTTGCGCGTGATGTGCGCATCCTCACGCACGATGTCATGAGTTTCATGATCTTACGCTCTTAGACTGAGAAACTCTACACCAGATGCCATGGTTTGTTGGGTGAAGTTGACCGTAAATATGCTGGCTGTAAGCTTTTTCATGGATCTATAATTAAATTTCTTGCAGATTTTGTGAAACATTCAAGGAAATTCTCAACACTTCAATCTGAGGTCATTCGGCCCTGAGCTTTGTTAGCATGTGGCCTAATATAGTACAAATAAACTACCAGGTGGCAGGTGGTCGATTAGATATGTTGACTATGTCAAGTGGGGAGGCTACTTAGTGTCTCAAGGAACACCGGCGTCCCAAGGACTGCTGATTCTTGAAACACTGTACTAATCAGGGTGTTCGAAGATCAGGAAGGGCAGAATGTTGCGCCAGTGCCTGCGCCCGGGTCTGTGCCTGGCTTGCCGTCTCTGGATGCCGATCTCACCGCCCACGTGCGCTGGGCGGCTCTGCAGTAGAGCTCTGCAGCTTAAAATCTGCTATCTTTCCCTTCGCTCTGTCACATATCTCCTCGACCTCAACGATGCGTTTCCAGTCGCTCTCCCTCCTTTCACTGGCTGTCCTCTTCGGCGCCGTCTTGGCCACTCCCGTGAGTCACTCACTTCCTGCGTCTGCTCATTTGACGCTCTGACATGCCCGTAGCTCCCTATGCCTATCCCTGAGCAGCCGGTCGACGCCCGCGAGATTGTACAAGCAAGTATTTCTTTCGTATTCCCCTACTTGTCTAACATCCACATTCAATAGCGCCAGGGCAACAGCGGACCGGCTCCTTGGTAATCTCGCATCCACTTTACCTGGGACCGATATCCATGTTAGTACTCTCAATCTATGGCTCATTCCTTCTCATGTCTCATTCTCTGAAGGTCATCAATCTCCCAGAATTTTCCTAATTTCATATACACTCTTTCCAATTAAGGTGTTTGTTGGAGGAGGACTCGTTGATGTCTTGTGGCTCGTCTGTCTTGACATCGCATTCGCTCGTTGTTGGCCGCCTTGGTCTGTATCGTCGTCCAGTCGTAATTGTTTCGGAACATACTGTCTTTGCACAGTTTCGAAATTTTTGAGCTCATTCGTGTGGATATATATGTTAATGTAGCCGAGTCTCAGGTTGGCCACTATCTATTTGAGGTTTTCGATCATTGCAAGGCCTATGTTTACGCTTAAGAACACGTCATACGCTCAATTTGTAAATCTGGCATCAGTGGTCAAAGATTGCGTGCCTGCCGAGTCACAAGACAACTTTCGCCAGCATTTGTGAGCCAGATTGATATGACGATCCCGTTCAAAAGTACTGGAGCGGCGAGTATGACGGTTTCGCGATGCTTACCGCCCTTGGGCTCTCGCGGCGCCTGAATCAGAGTGGACAAATTTCGTATTTGCGTTGTTCCCTGCTGTAGATGCTGATTGTGACATCATCGCGACCGTGGATTAATCATGAATCTGCCAGCAGTGGGCACTAGAGCAGCGAATAGTAAGTTGTACGACAAAGATACCAAGTTAGATCATTAGTACGCAAGCAGCCACGCTGCATGTGACCAGTACAAGATTTAGGGCAGGTGCTTTCGCGACAGGCCAATTAGTAGCAACGCGTTGGGAGTTGCTCTTGTGCTCACACCTTTCAAGTTCCACTATGTCTTTGCTCGACGAACCTGTTCCCGAAGATGTCCTTCTGCGCGACAGAGCGCGTGTTTTCGAGGAATTTCTCGACTCAGAGACTGACCTCTACAACTATAAAGAGGACATTTCGCGGATGCTTCGGCAGGATCTTAGACGACTGATTGTCAATATCGACGACCTACGTGACTACAAACGCGATTTTGCGGACGGGCTCCTCAAGCAACCTGTCGACTTCCTCCCTGCATTTGACGAGGCGCTTTGCAGCATTGTCAACCGTGTCCACGACTCGGACAAGCAGGATGTTTCTGGCAAGGAGTATCGTGTAGGGTTCAGTGGATCGTTTGGTGACCACCATGTCAGCCCTCGAACACTACGGGCATCGCAGCTGGGCAAGATGATATCCTTAGAGGGTATCGTGACGCGCTGCTCTCTCGTACGGCCTAAGATGCTGAAGTCCGTCCACTACTGCCCCGAAACTCGTTTGTTTCATGCGCGGGAATATCGAGACGCTACTACCACGACCTCCAATCTTCCTCCAACATCTTCTATAACACCCCAAGCGGACGATGAGGGACACCCGCTGCAGACCGAGTTTGGACATTGCGTCTTCAGGGACCACCAGAGAATTAGCATACAAGAAATGCCCGAGCGTGCACCAGCTGGGCAATTACCACGCAGCACGGATGTCATCCTGGACGACGACCTAGTCGATAAATGCAAACCTGGAGACCGAATTCAGCTGGTTGGTGTATATCGAAGTGTAGGCGGTGGAGCTGGAGGCGCATTCAAGTTTGTATACGTATTTTCCAGTCAAATTGTGACACTGACAGGGTGTCGATAGGTCTCTTATCCTTGCCAATAATATCAACCTCCTCTCCTCGAAAATTGGGGGAGGTATCGCCCAAACACAGTTGACCGACTCGGACATTCGCATGATAAATCAGCTCTCGAAGCGGTCAAACATCACAACGATGCTTTCACAGTCTCTCGCGCCATCGATCTATGGACATGACCACATCAAGATCGCAGTTCTTCTACTTTTGCTTGCGGGTGCAGAAAAAAACCTTCCGAACGGGACGCACATACGAGGCGACATCAATATGCTGATGGTTGGGGACCCATCCACTGCGAAATCCCAGATTTTGCGGTTCGTGCTCGGTACCGCGCCGCTCGCAATCGCTACCACAGGACGTGGAAGTTCAGGCGTCGGTCTGACTGCGGCAGTGACAACAGACAAGGACACGGGCGAACGAAGGCTCGAAGCAGGCGCCATGGTCCTTGCCGATCGCGGTGTTGTGTGCATTGACGAGTTCGACAAAATGTCAGACATTGACAGGGTGGCTATCCATGAAGTCATGGAACAGCAGACAGTAACAATCGCGAAGGCGGGCATTCATACCACCTTGAACGCGCGTTGCAGTGTTGTAGCGGCCGCCAACCCAATTTATGGCCAAGTAAGTTTTCGACTGTTGATGCTACTTCAATTAGTGCTGATTTTTTTGCCAGTATGATGTGCATAAGGATCCCCACAAAAACATCGCGCTACCCGACTCACTTCTGTCTCGTTTTGATTTACTATTTGTGGTTACGGATGACGTTGACGAGAACCGAGACCGGCAGATCGCTGACCACGTTCTCCGAATGCACCGCTATCTTCCGCCTGGTATCGAAGAGGGGACACCCGTAACAGACAGTCTTACGCAGAATCTTACGGTCGATGGGCCTGGGACAGCCCCGTCAGATGCAGATGAAGGCGAGACGAGCCCATTCGAGAAGTACGATCCGCTTTTACACATTGGCATTGGTGACGCGATGTCATCGACACGCAAACGAAAGCCTAAAAAGCAAGAGGTGCTGAGCATCGCATTCGTGAAGAAGTATATCCAGTATGCAAAGAATAAGCCCGCTCCTGTTCTGACCAAAGGTGCAGCCGACTGGATAGTGAACGTGTACGCCACTCTGCGAAATGAAGATTTGGAGGGCACCAAAAAGCGGGTTAGTATGTTATGCGTTCATCAGCGCGTTTCCTACATCATCTCATCTGCGCTTATTCTCAGACCTCTCCGCTCACTGCGCGTACACTGGAGACGCTAATTCGTTTGGCTACCGCGCATGCGAAGGCTCGACTGTCGAACAAGGTACAACAGCAGGATGCTATGGCAGCCGAAGAACTTCTGCGGTTTGCGCTGTTCAAAGAAGTTCCGAAACGCCAGCGACGGACCAAGCGTCGTCTGAACAACGGTAAAGGTGCCAGGAAAGATGGTGAAGAGCACAGTGACGAGGAGAGCGATGAGGAAGAAGAGGATGATTCTCCTGAGTTGCCGGCAAGAATGTCGATGCCTCCGCAGCCAAAAGGCAAAGAAAAGGCCGTTCCCGAGAACCAGCCAGCTGAAGACCCTGTATGGGGACGGGGAAGTCAGGATATACAAATGGAAGAGCCAGTACCTGCCGGCCCTACTGATGATGGACGGATCCGTCCCGAACGGTACGCATTTCTACGTGCGCTGGAATCCTCGTGGTTAACGACGACTGCGTTTCACGATCTAGGCTGAAGCTCTTCCGCACACGACTAGCACACCTGTTTGCAACGAGGCTACAAGATGAAGAGTCTTTCCTTTTGCCCAATCTGTTAGAACTCATCAATGAGGGTTTGTCCACTGACGAATTGTTTGGCACTGCTGAGGCCACCATAGCTTGCGAAGTCATGGGAGATGCCAATGAGCTGATGCTTAGTGGCGATATTGTATACAAAATTTAGTTTCACATCATTGATTCTTACCGCGCTTTGCTGCTCTCTGTATCCGTACTAGCTTGTATTATATTATATCGTGGAATTCCTATGTCGACCAATGTTAATACATGAGTACATCGTACCAAGGCGTTACCGCTCGCAGTCTACTCTGGTGCTCAAAATTTGTCTCACTTCATCTCTGCTCAAGTCAGCAAACCCACTGGATTCCATCATTACCTGTTGCCATTCGGGGTCTGAAGTGACGCCAAATGTCACATCTACCAACTTTTGCCAACGAATCCCTTCTGATGCCACCAGCCGGCTTGCTTGGAGCAGGCCTCTCCAAGGGCCCTCCACCCTGGCTCTCTCATTGCGCGCAAAGGCGAGCTGGCAGGTTTCGACCCAAAGTTCGCTCTCCGCTAGGATAGCTTTGCCCTCTTGTGCGCTGATACGCCCTCGACCACGGTAGAAGATCTGGCGCTGGAGAATGTGCTCTGATATGTGTGAGGCGATGCGGCGATATAGGTTAGTCACGGTTGCACGAGGAAGAGTTGACTGGAGGAAGGTGAGATGAGATGAGAGCATAGCAATAGGGCCAAGCAAAGTAGGAGAGAGGACGATATCATCTTGTATGCTCATATTCGCATTTGGAGTGACTTGCCTGAAGCCCCGATTATCAGTTTATGATATGATATGAGATGTAATACCACTTACGTTGAAGAGCCACTGGAGAAGTGAGCTTTCAAGGCGGTTTCTATCTCGCCAGAAACGGAATGTGTAATCATGTCTTCTGCACGTTCCACCAGTTTGCCGTACTGCGTCACTAATTCCTCAAAAATGATACCATCCGGTGCTTCAATTTCGCCCTCCTTAAGATCAGGTAAAGCGCGCTCTGCTTGAACGCGGGAACGCAGCGATGCTCGACGACTGATCTCGGTCCATAATTCAAGGAAGAACTTAGTGAAAAAGAACATTTAGCAGTCAGCTATTGCGTGATGACAACTGCTGCGCACCAGATCTTCTCCCCAAGCTTCACAAGCTGCGCCCATGTACTTTGCGCTGATGAGCGCTTTGCTCAATCTCTGCACCCCTTCGACGCCAGATGTCAATCTCTTGGAGTCACCTGGCCGTGTTCCCTCACTGCTTACGCCTACACTGCCAAGCGCCCCAGGGACCGCGCGCATAAAGCTAGAAGAGAGCGTTTCAAAAGCATCCAAAGACGAAGATATCCGCGACTGATACGATTCGAGGATGGGCAGCTGTACGGCAATGAGGAAGCGGGTGCGATGCAGGAATTGCGGAAGCGGGGAATAACGGTCTACAAGTAGAATGAGTACGCTGATCTATGAGTACGAAACGTACAATTTTACCTGTGACTTGTTCAACCAGTGCTTTCACTCTTCTGGCAGAGATCGTAGGCTTCAGCTCACGAGTAAAATTTACTGTGTCATCCTCAAGACCATCATCGTCCGCAATAAGCCATGCATCAGCCGCAGTGATGACCTCCATATATTGTTCCATTGCAACTGGTATGCAGCTAAGCAGGAACAGCAATATGAAGAAATCGCATACTTACATTTTCGTTCACCTTCCATCCACGTCTCAAACCACTCCTGATTACCCAGTATGATGTTGCTGGTGCCCTCCCACCTTGCATTTCTGTCCTTATCTTCCTTGCCCTGTTCGCCTCGTTCAGGTGTTCTACCCTGAGCAGACGTACCACCAAGGTCAAAATTCTCATCCCGCAAGGCCGTATCAAATGCGAGGGCTTCGTAGATGGTATGGGCTAGTATGGAAGGATGGGCAAGGAGAGAAGGGATGGTGCGCCGCAGTTTGCGCTCAATCAGCGGCAATAGGAGTAGCGTAAACTCTTGCTGACCGTCGTGATATTAGGTTCTAAGCTTACTGAATGCGAAGGTTGTGTTCAGAGACTTACCCAGGCATTTATTTCACAAAACTCGGTATTTGACAAAATCGTTTGTATGATACTCTCCATGAATCGACGGTGTTCATGTGCGACATTCAGTATATGAGTAAAATACCACTCGGGCTATTATTGTCAAGAATAACGGCATGACGAGGGTCAGTGTTCCGACAGCTCCTCCACTACAATGTATAATCCTCACCTTGTCAAGTCGATTCGTTTGTCGTGTACCTTCAAAATGATATTTAAATCGCAGAGAGACGGGTTGTACGAGAGCTTGAATAGGATACAAGCCTTCTTTCTCCATATTATCGGTGGCATGAATTCTCTTGCCACTATGTCAAAACCTCCGATAAGAACATGACTAAACCACGAGTCCTACGAACGCACATAGTCTGAAGTTTCAGTAAATTCAAAAAAGCAGATTCAAATGCCTTCCTATCGTCAGGTGAAGCAGATAAATAGTCAACGGGCATGGGCCAGTGCAGCTTATCGGCAGCGCCTAGTAGTGTCCTGGTCGAGGAATTCTGAGCGATCAGCGCTTCAAAGGTAATGTGAAAATATGTACATTGATAGGGTATTCTTGATGTCTTGCCACGTTTTGGCTCTGACCGCGTCCAAAAAATTGACGATATGCAACTTTTGCTGGCCACCTACATCCTCTGCCGGCCCACATACTTGTCGCGCCGACGATACAAAATGCTGAAGAGCCTCATATTGATCGGTCGATGATAGGGATGGCGAGGCTCGAATTTGTTCGACGGCTGCTTCGCTGTGGATGCATTGATATGAAGCTGGCCTTAGACAAGAACCACGACTTGCCTCAAACCCAAGGAGTGTGTTACAACTTGCACATAGCCTTTGACGCTCTCTAACTCCTTTAAATTTCGATGCAGCGTTTCAAGATCCTCCAATAATGTTGGCTTGCCATCGGAAGGAACTAGCGATGATACCAGCTGTTGTGATAGATATGAAATTTCATCGGACAGAGAGTGCCGTAACAGAGATAGCTCCTGAGCTGCACTCAATTGTGTCAATGCGGAAGTTCGGGTTTCTGCCAACAAAGCATCTACGGTTTGTCGAGATTGAGAAAGCTGAGCTGCGACGCCCGGGCATAAGAGAATTGATATACAAGCCGAGACTGGCACGCACCTGAACCCCAATTTCATTGCTCTCGTCTTTTGCTTGTTGGACTATCTCCTCGAGGTGGCTTAGTCCCTCTAGGTCTTGTATCGTCGTAAACTTGGCATCCAAGAACTCGAGAGATCGCTCTCGCGAAATCTGCTCTTCAGGGTTCTTCAAAAACGTTTGAATCTGCGCAGAGGCCATGTGAGTGACTGCAGCAGTGAGTCCACGACTAGTCACTAGTAGCGTGCCAACATCGAATACCGCGTTAGGCACGTGCCGCACACGACTCCTGGTCAAATCGAAAACACAATACAATTTATCTATTATCAGTTGTGCGAGTGCAGATCATATTGACATTCTATATTACAGCCTGTGCTGCTAGCTGGTATATTATCTAGGTAATCAGGTTATCCTTGACCCACTGGACAACTTCAGTCCAATCTTTGACTCTGGTGAGCCATCTCCCGGAAGGAATCGTCGTCACATCGGTGATTAAGAAATCATTTCCACCTTCCTTCTTCACTCTCTCCTCATAGCTCGACTCATCCTCAATGTGACTGTAATTTGCTTCGCGTTTGTTCCATTGGTAGTCCCCAAAGAGAAGCACTGGCTGTGGAGGGTCGCTCCGCATGCATTTCAGGGAGTTTTCGAGCGAGTCATCAATCATGAGCTTAGCACCGAGTGTCTTGCATACCTTCAGGCCAAAGTTAGACTATAGACATTATGTATCAGAAATCATACCTGCGCCTTAGAAAGCTTAGTCGCCAGCACTCGTTCATCTGCGAGGGTTTCTTGCGACATTCCGGTACAAATGACTGTCTCAAATATACCAGGAAAGTGTTTATCAAGCCACTTCTCGGTGTTCTCTAATTCGCGAGGCTGCCTGGCGGTTATAATAACCAAAAGGAATCCTAGATCCTTCAGCGAGCGAACACCTTGAATAGCACCTTCTACTGGGGATGCTTCGTAGAGTCTAGAAGTTGCGTAATATTCTTCCACTTTCCTCATAGTTTCACTCGGAGTGCCCCAATAGGGATTCTGAGACCATCGTGTCAGACAAGATGGTTATACCTATCACGTTGCTCACCCTCCAGTAATAGTAATCTATAGGAAAAATTCAACGCCGCGTGCGCAGTCAAATGTGTAGTGCACCTTACAATAGAAATCGGACAGTGTCATGTCGGTTCCATAGGCATCATTATGCCCTTTCAGGCCACCAATTAACTTGAATATGGCAGAAAGATATTCATGTTCACATACAATTTGCAACCGACTGGTTTGTTTCGCTAAGTACATCATCCAAGTCTACTGCAATCAAGGGCTTGTTAGAAGGTATGTTCCATTGCGCTACAGCAAATCCAGGAGGAGCTGCATCGCCTTTGGAGGCGGGATCTACTGAGACGGTCATGACGGTCAGCGAGCAGAGGATCCTGAAAATATCGGGACTCGAGAGCGATATCTGAATTTATGCAATTAGATGTCGACATCGATGAAATCGATGCGCCGCGAGCTGTAACGCGGTTTCTTCCCACGACGCGCTATGATGAATCTTACTTGGAGGAGCTCGAGCCTACATGTTTCGTCGTATTGTACTGCGCATGCCGGTAGCTACCCCAGTGTTTGAGGCAGAGAAAGACGGGCAGGCATGGCGTCGGTTGTGGTTTCTTTCGAGCAAATTCGATCGAACGCTCAAGCAGCCGTGCCACATCCAAAATCACGAGCCAAACGCAGCCTGGGCCAATGATTGCCTTGCCCGATCTCGAGGACCCTCCCGACGTTGAAACGTTGACCACTGCCGGCCCTGAATGGCCTCACAATTCTCTCTCAGGCCTTCCCGGGAGCATATCGGGCAGTTTGCTAAGGCGTATGCGTCCCATCGTCCACTCATCCAGCGTGTTCTCCTGCTAGGTTTTGTCGTGCATGTTCTCTCGTCGACCTATGCAGGGTTCACTGCCCGACCGGCCCACGCAAGACCCTCGAAAGGAGGGAAAGGGAAAGGAAACGGAAGGGCCGTTGAAGGCAGCGAAGGTCGAAAATCATCTCGAGTAGCTGTGAGTTCCATAGACAGCATCTTCCGCCGACTTCTGTCGACACCCTTGCTCAGATAGATGCTGTCTTCTATCAACGCTTGTCAACAATACTCCGAATAGTGATTCCTAGCATGCGCTCCAAAGAGGCCCTACTACTCATCATGCATTCGAGTCTACTCATCCTTCGCACCGTGATCTCGTTGTACGTCGCTGCATTGGACGGGAGGTAAGCTATAGTTTGGCCTAACCTCTTCAATACATATGCGAGAGTCAAGGAATTTGCTTGCTCATGGTTTGAGGTGTGCTCAATATGACCAGAATCGTGGCGTCTCTTGTTCGGGCACAACCTGTGCCTTTTTTGCTCAACATCCTCCGCTGGCTCCTTGTTGCTATCCCCGCCACATGGACGAACAGCTGGTTGAGCTACATCCAGAACAAGCTCGCGCTTGCGTATCGCACTCGTCTAACCAGGGAAATAATGCAACAATATCTTGGAGATGACCAGGACAAGCAGGATTTGAAAGTATTCTATAAATTATGCAAGTTGTTCTCCATCTGGGAATGATGTCTTATAATCTGAGTGTTTCCAAAATAGCGAACCTTGATGACAGGATCAAAAACCCAGATCAGTCGGTACCCTTCCCGCCTCAGAAGCACCACCTGTCCTGATTATTCTGTCATAAGGATGATTACACATGATATACAGCGTTTTTCTACGCACTTGGCGGCTCTATATGCGAACGTCGCAAAGCCTGTACTAGATATGATCCTTTACAACTACCAGCTGTCCCAAAATGTGGGCGCTGAGGGCCTTGTACTCCTTACCATTGCGGTACAGTCATCCGCAGCCTTACGTTCGTTCAACTGCCTTTGCTCCGCTTGTAGAAGCGTGTTAACGATGTTTTGCATTAGTCCGAGCTCTTACTCCGCCATTTGGATTGTACACGGCACTTTCCGCTCAGCTGTCTGGGAATCTACGGCACACACACTCAAGAGTCGTTGAATTTTCCGAGGAGATTGCATTCTTCGGCGGCGAGCACACGGAGAAGATGCTAGTGGAGCGTGAATACGCAGGCCTCGTTCAGCACGAGTCACAAGTGCTCAAGAAAGCGTGGTGGCACGGCTGTGTCGAAGAAGGTATCATAAAGTGGCTGTGGGGGAGTTTTGGAGTAAGTGATATTCACGAAAGCCATTCGCGTTGTTAATATCATCGATCGGAAAGCTAAGTATATGCGCAATCCCTATCTTTTTCAAATTGCCCGGTATATACAAAATCGACTTGGGTAGCCGAACGGAGGGCAAGTCTCCGCTCTATTGAGATCTTGGCTTTTGCGTCCTCACGATGCGGAATAGGGTTCATCACCAACCGTCGGCTGTTGCTCTCGGCTTCTGGTATGTTTACTCCAGCCCCAATGGACATCGTGCTAATCTACATATGATTGTAGATGCCTTTGGTCGGGTGATGTATTCTTACAAGGAACTCGCAGAGCTCGCGGGATACACAGCTCGAGTGTCTGAGTTGCTCGAAACCATGGCAGACGTCCGCAAGGGCAAGTTTGAGAAAGCGCTGGTGAGCAGTGCAAGCACGGAAGAACACGCTAAGGGTAAGAGATGTCTGATTCGCATTGGATATTGCTTCTGAGATACGCTATGGTAGTGCTAAGAGGGAGGGGAATCATCATCGAGTCGGACGAAATCCAATTCGAGAACGTTCCAATTGTCACTCCAAATGGCGATATACTCATCCGTAGTCTAAGTTTCTACGTCAAACCTGGGGTATGTTTCATTGTGATACTCGTCGGTCATGTTCCTTATTGTATTCTGCTACATAAAGGAGCATCTATTGATTGTAGGGCCGAACGGTTAGCCCTAGTCACAGCTAGCGCGGAACTGATCATTCAAATATCCCCTAGGCTGTGGCAAATCGTCTTTGTTCCGTATCCTGGGTGGCCTCTGGCCAGTGTATGGTAGTATTACCGGGATCTCTTACACCTGCGGTGGACTGACAGCTGATTGCAGGTGGAATTGTTCGCAAGCCACCAGCATCACAGTTCATTCTGATACCTCAGCGACCGTATTTATCGTTGGGGACATTACGCGATCAAGTTATTTATCCGCATGGAAAGGAAGACATGGAAGCCCGTGAGTTCCTACGTTTTGAAAGAGCACTATCTGCCTGAAACAGCTGACATGCTAATTTATAAGGGGGTGTAACTGACGCCGATCTCCTTGCCGTACTCTCCCTAGTACATATGGATAATGTTGTAGAACGTGAAGGTGGATGGGAGGCTGCGCGCGATTGGCGAGAATCCTTAAGTGGCGGAGATCAGCAGAAGATCGCTTGGGCACGATTGTTCTATCATAAACCTAAGGTTGGTTTTTTTTGAAGCTCGGATATCTTCGATAATTATCTCTTCTAGTATGCTGTCCTTGACGAGGCAACATCACTTGTTCCTCCGGAGATGGAGGGAATGATGATGGACCATGCGACTCGTCTCGGCATTACTTTGCTTACTGTCTCACATCGGCCTTCACTGTGGAAGTACCATTCTATGATTTTGCAGTACGATGGCCAAGGGGGATATGTTTTGTAGGCGTCTTTCTTTATCCCTAAGCGGCGTGTATAACAGGCTTTCCCATGCCAGCACGAAGTTAGATGCAGACAAACGGCTCGCACTTCAGCAAGAGAAAGAAACACTGGAGGCTAAACTAATTGAAGTGTAAGTCAAACAAATACCTTTTTGTCAGCTTGTTCACAGATTTAAATTGTAGGCCGAAGATGCAAGCCCGCCTTGCGGAGCTACAAGCGTTGCGGCGGGGAGAAGCTACGGGAAAGTTGTGATACCGGTCTATTAGATCAATCGTCGTGCGTCGGATGTTCATCCATGAGTACAGGATTGTATTTTTATGACATGACTCTTGCGGGCCAGAACGTCGATCGCCATGCGGTTGTACTTAAATGAGGGGAATTTTTGCGGTAGGAGACGCACATTAGCTGAAAGTGGCGTTGCGCATTGAGCAGATGCTCTCCGTCTCATGGTGCGGCGTAAGTGCGGCCCCAACTCGTCGACGGATTTCCATTCGACGGACGTTGAGAGGACCGCGGTATTTAGGTCATGTGAGCGGAATCAGATCGGATCGGATGAGACCGGACGCTATTGGCCGAGGTTGACGAGATCGAGTCGGCAAAACACGGAGCCGGGTTTTTTTGAATCACGCGCTTTCCCCGCCGAACTCCACCGTCACAGCCCATTTGACCGTCGTCGCTCGTGTGCGGGCCCTTACACCTTCTCGCCGGCTCCTTTCTACTTTACACATTCTCGCCTTATTCAACTTTTATCTCTTTCCCCCTCATACATGCATTACTTTTCTCAACTGTTCCATTACGAGTGAGTGTTTTTGCAACCCTGAGGCCAATAGTGTCTTTAATTCCACTTGAAAATAGTCATCCATGGACGCATGTTGTGATTGGAATGTGGCATAAATACCCCAATCCTCACTGCACTCATGTCGTCACTGTTGACGTTGTAGATCGGACTGTCGACCCAAGTACCGGTGTAATTCGGACAGAGCGAGTTCTGGGTTGCAAGCAGAAGGCACCGGGTTGGATTATCAAGGTAGGCTGCAATAATCATTCGCTCATTCTTAGGTCCTTACCCGAATCTAGTTCTTTGGTGGATCTGAGGATGCTTTTGTGCGGGAAATTTCTTTCGTTGATCCTCGAACGCGCAATGCAACAATCACTTCCGTCAACTTGTCCCTATCACAATTCGCCACCTGCTATGAGAGCATTCGTTACACGCCTACGAGTGATGGCCGCACAGCTTTTGTACAGACAGCGGAAATTCAGTCTCGAATGGCACTTTGGCGCGGCGCGGCAGATAAATTGGAGGGCTGGCTGGTTCAGCGATTCGAGCAGAATGCTCAGCTGGGCAAGGTCGGTTTCACGGACGTGTTGCGGAGTATGTGGGAGAGTAATGAGGGACATCTGCATGCATGCGCAAGCTGATTTATTTCTCACTTCTGGGCTGTCTCCCACCATTGTAGAGGGCGGGTTGGCATTAGAGTTAAAAGGCTAGAGGGTTATCCTCGGAGGTCCATACCATATAGCATTGTACTATCCCCTGCAAACCCTTGCATATTATGTAAATCTCATCATCTGGCTTGTTATTTGAGGGGCTGAAATTGGTTTTGATTCTGCTCTTCGCTGGTGTGTTACTAACCATGTCTGCTATCTCTTGGACTTGGAGGGCGAGGGGCAGGGACTCCGGGGCGCACAATAGGATTGGTTCCTTTCATAGCTCTCGCTTATTAGCATTGTGGAACCGCACCGGATCGCATCAGATCAGATCAGTCTCCTTCCGTCTTTGAGCCTTGTATCGTTCGTACGAACCCCGACCATCTCATAGCAACTTGGCCAACTTGAAGGCATCGTACTAGCGCAGGTCAACAGGTCAACTGGGTGACACTTATTCAACCTCCCCAAGCTCTCGTTCCGTCTGACAGCTAAACTACTATTTGGTGAGACATGGGAATCCATCCCTTTTGTGCCTCTAAATCAAGCAGGCCCTCTCAGGTATGCACGAATCCTCCGGAATCTAATGGATGAGCTTGTCCAACATTGCCTACGCGAGCTCTCTTTCGACGGAGATCTCGGTGAGTGCTGGGTTCTTAGTTTTGTGGCCTCAGCGTCAATCCCTCGTCTTGGTCAGGGGTTCAATCCCTGCTCGTGCAGCGCATTGTTTCTCCATGGTATCCACTGACTTTACATTTTATGCGCAGGTTGTGACGTTTCGCGTTTGCGGGAATTCATCGAGGAATTCTACGCTCAGAACAGCAGCTGTCTCAAACAAAATGTGGACGACGCATATTGCGCATTCATTTGGGCAGTAATGTCACGGCAGCCAGGCGTACGTATCGGTACTGTGCCGGAGGGACCCGCAACAGAAGTATACATTGCGCCCCAAGCGAGCGCAAAACGAAAAGCGAAGGCGAAGGGCGAAGAGCCGGCCGATCAAACACTACTGGCTACAGTTTTGAACGTTGTTGCGGAAGCTGCCATCACACCATTGGAAGAATTGAAGAGAGAGTATGGTAGTGCACTTAGAATTGCCGTTGACCCGGAGATCTCGCGCTCTGCCATCACTGGGTCACATATAAGAGTAAGTTTGATATCTGTATGTTGCTGAATATATTCATGCTCCTTTGGTGTCACTAGCCTTCGAAGCTGACACCAATGGTGTATACCGCCCTACAATTCATCACGCGTGGCAGGGAACAAGGGATCAGTGTCCTGGACCTAGGCAGAAAGTCGGGCTACGATCAGAAGACATGTTTTTACCTGATCAAACAACTGGTTGAGCTCGATCTTGTGTGAGTACTTCTAAGTATATGTGAATGCTCTCTAGTCATGTCATCTTGTAATAGAGTGAAGCGTCGAAAACCGGGTGTGAGTACGAATGTATGCGTCCACAAATACTTTTTCGAGAACAGCGAAGTTTGGCAGCAAGTCGTCCGAGAAGAAACGAAGGCCAAAGAGGTGCAACAGAAGGTTGAGGAGGGAAGCGGAAGGATGGACACTGATGATGAAGAGTCTCACGACAACCCTCCAGACGGTGCTGATTTTGATCCTATTGATGCACGCCACCTATCGAGCCTCCCCGTGATTCGGGCTCGACTTACGAAGCTGCTGAAGAGTTCTCCAAATGGCCTTCATGCAGCTACCAACCTTCTGCCTAAGATTGTAAACTCCACTCTATTTCGCCCAGTATGAGTTTATGTTAATATTTCGCAGGGATTTCGGAACCCCACGAAAAGCGACCGTCGCTTCTTCCAGACTCGTCTACGTGAGTTGATTGATCAAGGCGTAATTGAGAAGGTTGAAGTCCCACATTCAAATGGGCGAACATCGAGTAAAGGTAGCATCTGTATTCGTCTGGTAACTCCCGAGGCTTCATCTGGTTCTGCCGTTAATGAGTCAGAGGATGCTCCTGGTACGGAAGGTTCGTGTACAACAAAGATACACGGTCGCAGGTTGATATATGCGTTCGCAGAATTACTTGACACCGGTGATGGGCTACAAACCAACCTTTCGTTACACAAGCAACTTGTTGACCTATTGGATGAAGCAGGCATGAAGGGCATGACCTTGAATGTACGTAAATAATCTCATATTTTATTTATTCTTCCGTAAATTCATTCATAATTTGATTACTTTCAGGATCTCTCTGCCTCGCTCTGTAACTTCGATAGACGAACTGTTGAGCTACTTCTATCTCGACTCGAGAAAGATCCACCGCCTCTGCATCTTGCTGATCTTGGTATTGCTCAGATTGGCGAGACGCATGGCCGAGAGCGCCGCTACAAGTACTACACTGTGGCAAATTTCCGTGTCATTGCTGAAAACGAGAAGCTAGAAGGAGATCCCTATGTTGACGTTGACCTCTCGCAAGCCGGAGATTTTATGCATATGGAAGCTGCCAGTTTCTATAGTGATGAGCAGGAGCTTCTCAAGCATGTCAGCGAGTACAAGAGGGCAGACGATGGTGATCGTGCTTCATTGGCTCCTTCTAAATCGAAGAAGGTTAGGAAGAACCCTATACTGCCCGATGGTACGGTCAAGAAAGGTAGACCACCCAAGTGTCCCGCCCCTACCGGCTCCGATGATCTACGCACTGGTGAAGTGGCTGCGAAAAGAGGAACGAAGCGCAAACGAAGTGAGGAGTTAGCCAAGGCAGGGACTGGTACCATCCAAGAGGAACTCGTTAGTCCACCCACTAAGCGCAAACGCGGGCGTCCACCGAAAAGACGCCCCGAGCAAGCGCGTATTCTCGAAGTTGAGGTACAAGTCGTACCTCCTGTGCCAACCAGCGAACCTGTTGCTCCTAGTAATGGTGAAGACCATGCTCCCGTAGCACCTAGCGGACCCGCTGGTATTGATGGGGAGGGCCGACCAGCCGTAGTTAGCGGCGAAGAATGTTTTCCGGCGAAGCCCAGCCAACCTATCATGCTAAGCGGCGGGGAAGAGAGAGTCAGAGCTGAGGAGGATCGCACAAAGAGGGGTAATGAAGAAGAGAACGCCACCGGGCCTCCCGCGAAACGTGCCAAAGTTGATAAAACCTCCGGTCCCGCGGCATCCGGATATTATTCGAAAGCCAAATTGACTCAGTCGCGACGGGAACGCGAAATTACGCGACTCATTACAGACGCGGGAGGAATATTAAATATCAGCACAAAAGACTTCTATGAGGCTCACGCTGCACTGGTAGAATCTATCACGCAATCTGGAGAAGTTGCCAGCACTCGCGCTGGCTCTCGCATTGACAAGCGCACCGCTGAAGCGACTCTCAAGGAGCTGGAGCTGCGCGAAAAGGTTAAAATTATAACCACCTCCGTCAAGACTTCTACAGGCAGCTATCGCCCCATGCGGATCGTTTACTTTCCTGTCGTATCTGAATCTGAACTGAATGTATATCTTGCCAAATTGAGTCGTCAGCAAACCTCTGCTCCTCCGCCAGTCAAAACCTTAGACGAGCCTCTTGCCTTCGGAGGTCAGAGAGAGACGAAAAGAAGCCCTCTTCCTACCACGTTGTCTGCGGAAGTTTTAAACAGCAAAGATCCCTGTGCGCTAGGAGTGCTTTTCGAGTCAGGCGACGGTGTAATACGAGACGCCTTTCTGGCCGAGAAGAGTACATTGGCTCAGTTGTACGGCTATATTGTTGGCAGAGCAGAAAGGGTGAAACGTCTTCACCTTACCGTCGTCCAAGAGCTTCAACTGGACAGACCGTCGGACCACGTCGTGTCAAGGGAGCAGCGGATCGTCACATTTTCCTACTTCCTCAATGATCTACCCATATCAACTTATTGCGCTATAGTCACGACTCTCATCAAAAGTGAGGAGCTGGCGAGTCTCCTACAGTCGTCTAGCGAGTCGATCCTTATAGGACAGGTCCCACGAGAGATCTACGACGCTTTAGAGGTTGGTCGATGGCGTTCGAAAGTTCGTTTATTGGAACTATTCCAGTTGGCTTGTCAGCTCCATTTCATGGAACCCCTACAGCCCTCACAGACCAATCAGCCTCCCAATGCCCAATCCCATCCTACCACGTTTGACATCGTTCCCATCGAAGAATGGACACCTCAAACAGCTCCCGTATATTGGCGCTTCTGCGATGAAACTCCCCTTCACTTGTGGGCTTTGTCGGAACACTCTCCTCCTTTCTGGAAAAACGTCCCAACACGTACGGTTGCACAGTGTCGTGACTATTGGCAGGAACTGAAGAGGATCTGCTGTGATAAAGATTTTGCTATCGATGCTAGGGTAGCTCAAGCTGAGGCTGCAGCTCACACTCAAGATCGTGAAGTTGGGAAACTGCTGCGCAAACCATCGTCCTGGAGCTCGTCGTACAACTTTGCCTGGTATCAGGATGAATATTTAAATCGCTTTGTGGACAAGTCGTGCGGAGACACTCCTCTCCAAGATCAAGATGGAGGTGAGGCGCGCCTCTCTCACATTTCTTGGGTCGTAGCTGCCCCGAAAGGTGCTCTTCAGCTATTTTTCGAGAAGGCCCGTATCAAGTATCTTAAAGAGCAGGACAGATTACGGAGGAGAGTTGAACGCAATGCGGTCCAAGCAAAATCGAAGGAAGCCCAGGACAAGGCTCTCCTTGCTCGGAAAGCGGCCGAAGGCAAACAGCAGATGGAGCAGGATTGGGACGACTTGGTTCGCAAGGTTCATCCAGACGCCCTCAAGGGATCGGCCGCCACGCGCGTCCGGCGGGTTCGTTCTCGGTACATGCAGAGCTCTGGTAGAGATAAGGAGAAATGGGAAGCTGAAATCAAACAGGCGTTATACGAAGCCCAAATTTCTGCAATGCAAGTGCTTTCGTCTGGAAAACCACCACCTGTGAAACCTTTGCTTGGGCCTGCTCCCTTGGTTCAGGTGGTTGGCTCGAATGAGAAATCAGTCGACGAAATAATTGCTCAGCAAGGCCCACAGATCGCTGCTCGAACTCAGAATAAGAAATCGAAGAAAGGCAAAGGTGTGGAAGAAGGCACGTTTGACTCTCTCGTGCGCGAACAAGAAATGCTGATTGCATCTTATGGCAGATGCTAACTCCACCAAAGGCCGTGCTAGAAGACATAGGTTCCAATGGAATCGCGACTTTGACGATCTGGCTCGTGATGCATGTGCAATCATCAAGGCTCGCTGCCGTGGTCGCGGGAGAGTTGAGTACGCAGCATTTGACCAGGTGTTTCCCGCAGTCCCAAGGAACACAGTTCGACAGCGTGCTGTGCACCTGCGAGAAGGCCCGGGAGGTGAAGCTTACATGCAACGTCTGGAAGATAAATGGTACGAGTTATGGACTCAACATCGGGGAACTCCTGCGCTTCCTGATGATGATCCCGAGAGCGCGACCAATTTCGACTTGGTTAGCCACCTCAAATTCTTGCGTAATCACGTCGACAAGAACGCGTTGTAAGTGACAGTTCGTATTTGGTGCACAAGGATTCCTCTGACGATTACATATAGGCGAGTTGGATATCGCGAGGCGACCACCCTTGTGAAATCCAGTATTCCTGCGTCTGTGCATCACTTGCAGTCCCATTGGGACGTCATAGAGAAGAAAGATGCTACATCCCTGTGGGACTTCATTTGGAGTGGCGCGGCTGAAGAGGGACGAGGAAAGCATTTGGCTTTACATAGTTTTGTCGCCAACTGCCATGAGACGCCATCCTTTGAGTACTCAGAGGAGGATATATATATCGCTCATTCTGCATTAAAGGTGAGCTATATGTCCCTTTCGATTTTTCGACGCACTCATTGATGATTATATTAGATGACGATGGGAACACCAAATGAGACCTACGATACTCAAGTGGCGGCCAATTTACTTAGGTCTGTTGGTGAGGAGCTAGTCGACGGAGCAAAGGATGAGATGTCCAAGAGAGGAGTGCTCTCCAAGACAGTCCGCGATCCCCAAAAATCCAAGCCTGGCAGAACTTTGAAGATCTCCGAGAGGTACGTATTACCTGTAGAATTATATGACTGACCCTTGCGGGACTCATGTGCGCAATAATAGCAATCAGAATGCCCTGGGCGGATCTGTTTCGCAAGACATATTCCAGGACGCTTGTGCGCTAGAAGAGCTTCTCATTCAGGAAGATGATCCCACCGCTTGGCGGGAATGGTCGCTATTGTCCAGTGAAGGAGACGTCGCTGCCTTGGCTGAACTTGTATCAGAGAACAAGGTACTTGCCATAAAATGTCATTGATGTGGCCCGCACTGACGCTGCTGTTCAAAGATTGACTTCAAAATTGATACTTCGCAGCCCCAGTTAGCTCGCACTAAGATGGATTGGAACAGCAAGAAAGCAGGTATGTACGTTCTCTAGACCTATTTCGAATATGACTCAAGAAGCAACATGTTCTAAGATGACGACGACAACGAGACGACACTCTTGATTCGTCTTGTCAGCACATCAGACTCCGGAGCTCAATCATCCGTCGAAGAACAGTCTGCGCAGACGCCTATTGCTCAGGTCCCATCACCAGGTGGAGCAAACGAAATTCCAGCAGACGAGCATGGTCATACGACAGATGGAGAACGAGCCTTTTGTTCTCGATCTACTGGTGGCCTCATTGATTGTAGTGCCTGTCTCCAAGAGGCAGCATCTTTTTTGGTCCAAGAGTCCGAAAACAAACACGTTAGTCTCTTGAATTCGTTAATGCATGCCCTGCGGAATGCGGGGTCACGCGGCTTGTCAAAGCCGCAGCTTTTGGTGCGTTTATTTGAAGGTGATCATGCTGTTTATAAACTGATGCGATTTTTCAGGCCATTGTGGGGCGATCCCAGGCAGAAAGTGCCTACGCCATTATCGAACAATTGACGGCTGGTCCTGTGCCCGTCGCTTTTTGGACTGGTTATATCTCAATCGTCCTTGTCTCGTGTGCTTATATTCGGCCTTGGACTGTGCTTGTCTCAGATGGAAAGAGTCAACAATCCATGGTTTCTCCCCGACGTTGGCTCGATATTTTCGGAGGAAGGATGCGCGACATATGGCAGGCTGCACTCCGAGCCGTAATTGGGGTGGTCTTATATAGGCCCGGGATACCTCAGGTATGCTAATTTTCGCCTTTTCCGGTGAATACATGCTCAGTGTGCGCTATTCAGGCGGAGATCCGCTGGCGGCTGAGAGCGGTGTACGATAGACAAGAAGTAAACGACGCGCTATCTCATCTTGTGGAAGAAGGTTATATCGTCAGGCACACGGATGCCACACGCGAAATCCTTCATGTCGGCCCACCAGACGATGACGAAGAGTCGTATGTATTTTATGTTCTGGCTCACGACAAACATTGGTATCGATTATAGCCGTAGTTTGGCTCCATGTGCATGTATCATCCGACGACGTGGATACCTTTCCCCCAATTTCTGTAGCAATTACATGTTAGCTAGCATCAGGACATTCAATTCGATCGATCTGAGCAGGAAGCAAAGATGAAGCGGAAGTCGCGGCATTGTTGCATTGTGACAATTTGAATTCCGTGAAGTCTGTTGCATGACAAAGATACCGTCATGGATCGCCATGGGGTAGTTTAGTTTGCACGCCCGATTTGCGTAGTAAAGGCTGAGAGCGACATGTTCAGATGAATAGTTTGACAAGAAAAGGTATATAGAGGTATCTACGAAAGTTCAAGCATAGCACAAGAACTTACATGCCCTGTCTTACTAGGCTACAGAATCGAGCGTCGTTGAAAGATGAGAGCTAGATCCAGACGATCCCTGCACAGAATCAACGGGCATGATATCACCTCCCGAATTCTGATCATGCAGAGGCTCACTCGCAATTTGCAGCAGAGAAATACTGACGTTCTTGTCATCGATGCCATCAATTGCTTGAGAATAAGATTGAACTTGCTTCTCCGTGTCGTCTGCGATATTATGCTCATCAACATCGAGCTGCTTCCCTAATTCAACGTCGCTCTTCTCCGTGTAGTCCGCGGTTTTATGCTCATCAACATCAAGCTGCTTCCCTGATTCAATATCACCCTTCTCCGTGTCGTCCGTGATTTTATGCTCTTCAACGTCAAGCTGCTTCCCTGATTCAACGTCGCCCTTCTCCGTGTAGACCGTGATTCTATGCCCGTCGACACCAAGCTGCCTCCCCGATTCAATGTCGCTAGACTTCACTTCATCCGGTTCAACATCTCCTTTCTGCGCGTCTTGAGTATCGGCTGCGAGTTCTGAAGGGAACTCGTGCAACAACCCAAAAGTCGCCAATGCTCCAGCCGCGAGACATCCGGCTGCAAAAATAAAAACCTTTGAAAAGCCACTGCTATATGCATTCTGTACATAAGCCCGCGACGCGGGATCGAGTTCGCCCAACAACCCGGCAGGATTTTGCAAGATCGCCCCACGTAGCGTAGGGTCCGCGAGCGGGCCACCATTGTCCGCGAGGAGATTGAGACGGCCGGTGACGACACCATTCAAGATAGCAGTATCGGCAGCGATGCCGATGAGCGCGCCGAGCTGGCGCGCGAACGACTGGAAACCCGTAGCAGCGGCGATCTCTGAGCGCTCAGTGCCAAATTGCACGATGATTGTCGACACGGGCAATGTCGTCCCGAAGGCGATACCTGCGAGCGCCTCGAAACCGTACTGCTGAGGAAAGGACGTGTGTGCGGTGAGGATGGAGAGAAGGCCACATGCAATAGGGCCAATGGATGCGCTAGCCCACATAATTCCACGATAGCGACGTGTCTTCACGACGATTCCACCGGCCACAATGGACATGAGCCCTGTGAGGAGGAGCTGTGGGAGCATCCGTATCCCTGCCGTGATCGGTGAGACAAGATCGACCACCTCCATCCGTTGTGGGAGGAATATCGTAGTTGTGTAAAAGCCAGCTCCGAGACAGAGTGTGAAGGTGACGATTAGGGTGTAATTCCGGCCATTGAATAAATTCAGCGGGATGAGGGGTTCTGGATGACGAGTCTCGAAGTATACGAGAGCTGGTAACAGGCACACAGATATGACGATGGGAGCAAGAACTTCGGCCGAAATCCACGGGTATGTTGAGCCCCCTACTTGTAGCTAGGACATATCAATTGAGAGGGCCGAGATAAGCAGAACATGCATCAAGGAACTTACTGCAAAGGAAAGTAGGACACTGCTAGCGAGGAGGAGAAAGCTGCCTATCCAGTCTACACGACGCGCAATCATGTTCCAGCTGAGAGGTTCTTGCTGTGGATCTTTCAATCCATAAAGGAGAAAGCAAGTGCCAATGGCACCTATGGGCAAATTGACGAAGAATATCCAGCCTAGCGCAAGAATCGATGATCAGAAGCAGTACAGAATCGATCAATCGAGAAGACAAACCCCAATGGATATGAGAAACGATTGCACCTCCGATGAGCGGGCCTGCGACACTACTCATAGCAAACACTGTGCCAATCATTGGGGTATATTTGGCAATTTCTATCTAGAAGAACGCATACTAGTGTCAGAGATTGTACGCATCAAGTCAAGAATATCACGCACTCTAGGAACAATGGTACTAATTGTAACAATAACAGCAGAATAAATCGCCGAGCCACCGATTCCCTGCAGAGCGCGAAATATGATGAGTTGATTCATGGTCTTGGCACCGCCACAAGCTCCAGACCAAAGCTAAGCCAAGCAGATAGCCATTGAATGGTGAGGATATTTGCTCGCGAAGAAAGGAAAACAGACCATGAAAAATAGCGTGGAAAATACCAGGACGGGTCTTCGTCCAAAGATGTCCGTGCATTTCGAGACAATGGGAAGGAACGCTGTACGTAGTGAGTCTTGATGGGATACTTTGCCCACTCATGGAACATACCTGTGTAGGTTATCAAATAAGCGGTGACGATCCAGCTTGCCTGTGAGTAGTCGTCAAAGTCAGCTCCAATGACCGGCAGTGCTACGGAAACTGGGATAAGATTCCGGGTATGCAGTCAGAATCACATATATGCTAGACGATGAACATCATACCGATGGTGGAGTCGAGCGCAGAGATGAACAAGACTAGAGCAAGGGCGACTACGACTACGGCGCGTCTGTGGCCGTAGATGTGATATTGCTCTGGGTCCACCCGGTATGGGAGCGACGCCATCGTGTTCAGCGTGGAGCGTGAATGGGAAGCGGCAGCAATGGTGTCCATCGGAAAAAGCGGCTAGCCCAAGGTTGAAGGAGGGAAAGCCGCCAGATGGGGGGGGGAAGAGAACAGCGAGACCACCACGGTCATGTTCTGGCAATGTCAAGCTGAATTCCATATATGCCGTACCATTGAAGATGCCACACGCGAAGGCCGAGTGTCTCGGGGATCGGCTCAATCGCGCACCCGAACCCGGCTCCGGTTGTTGAACAGTTCGCAAGACGCATTGGTCTCGATGCGTCTTTTACGTTTAGAGTCCCAGGATGGCTTGTTCAAGACTCCAATGGACTTGTTTGCGCAGAGAGAATTTGTAAGTGACACGCGATCTGCTTTTTTGTGTTGTTGCGGCACAGGTGACCCACACGCATCATAGGGGCTTCACCACACCCAAGCCTGCAGGGTCACTCTTCACTCCTGACCATCACTATTGTCCCGAGCCATGAGTTCCTCTGCTGCAGGATTCGAGAATGCAACAGAGCAGCGTGAACCCGTCGACCTTCAGATCTATGGAGAGATTCCCCCTTGGCTCAGCGGTGTGCTTTACAGGACTGGACCGGGCACTACTCGCATCCCGACTACTGCTGACCCCTCCAACTCGGTCGACATTCACCACTGGTTTGATGGCCTCGCCATGCACCACCGCTTCGAGATCCACTCAGGCGGGCAGCGCGTCACGTACCGCTCCCACCACGGTGCTGAGGACCTGGAGAAGACCATTGCCGACGCAGGTGTTTATGTCGGCGGTTCCTTTGGCCAGAAGGACCCTTGCCAGACCATCTTTCGCAAATTTTTCTCTGTCTGGAATGCCCTGGGCCCAAGCAACTCCAGCGACCAACCCAAGTTAAGCCCGAGCCAGAAGAATGTCTCTGTTACTCTCACTCCTAACATGCCCGGCTGGGACTCCATGGACGTTCCACTTCCAACTGTTTCCTCCGGACCCCAATATGTAGTCGCCAAAACCGACGGAAATGCGCTTCAGCTCCTCGATCCCGAAACTTTGGAACCTCTCGCCATGGCCACCTACCAGGACATTGATCCTCGACTCGACGGTCCTTTATCTGCCGCGCATTCGTGTCGTGACCCTGTAACAGGCGACTTTTATAACTTTGTATGCAAGTTCGGAGGCAAGTTTGCCGCATACAAGGTGTTCAGAATCAGTGGCAAGGACAACAAAGTAGACATTCTCGCAGACATCAACGACGCCCCACCTGCGTATATTCATTCATTCGCCATGACGGAAAAATTCGTCGTTCTTTGCGTCTGGCAATCTTACATCAAGTAGTAAGCTATCTCTGCATTGCCGACCATCATTTCTGTAAACGCACTAATTCAACCTAGCTATGGATTGTCAGTGGTCATGAATGGGAACCTTGCCGAGTCAATTGACACCAACTGGGATCCTCACGCTGATTCTGTATTTTATGTTGTTGATCGCAAGCATGGTGGGATAGTTGCCAAATACAAGGTATGTTTGTCATATGTCTTGAGCACTTATATGAGCTAATTGTTCAATATAGACACCGCCATTCTATTGCTTTCATCATCTGAATGCTTTTGATGACCCCGCCACAGGAGACGTCATCATTGACATGTCCATATACCCAGACAATTCCATTATCCAGCTCACCTACCTTTCCACGTTGCGCGATCTCACCGCGCACAATACCCCCATTCTAGGGATTGCCCGCCGCTTCCGCCTCCCGTCTCCCACCTCTTCTGTGGACGGAGTATGCGATGCGATAGTGGACTACACCTATCCCTTGGAACAAAACATCGAGCTCCCTGTCGTCTCACCGAGCGTGTATCATCGCCCGTATCGGTATGCGTATGGGATCCACAAAGGCAACACGCCGGACCACCCGACATTGGCCGATGCAATCGTCAAGCTCGACATGGCGTCGGGCAAGGTGGACGGCAGCACTACTAAGGTCTGGCAGACAGTGGACCGCACGCCGTCCGAGCCGATCTTCGTCCCACGTCCGGATGCGGCTCCAGAGGACGAGGACGATGGCGTACTGCTGAGCGTAGTGCTCGACGAGCAGGCGTCGCGCAGCAGCTTGGTGGTGTTGGACGCGAAGGAATTGAAGGAAATTGGGCGTGCTGAGATGACTGGGGTGTTCCCCTTTGGGTTTCACGGGTTGTTTTGTAAGTCAGTGTTGTGAGGTTGGCTGATGTATGAACATCACCTCAAGGTAGTGCACAGTGGTCTCATAGTACCCCACTTCGACACGCCTGGGTACGAGACCAATGTGCGTGAGGTGGATTCAAATCGTTGGTTGTGTTGTCAAGGTGACTGATATACGACGTCCAAATTGACCAATGCCTTTGTTTCGATTATGATCATCTACTTCATAGTCTACGTACACGTCGTACCTATTGTCTACATAGGGCTTGGCCCTCGCGGATAATGAAAGGATCCAAGGAAGAAAGGTGGCTGACAGAGGCGATCCTCTAGGCTCGCAACCAGCCGTTGTAGCTTTTAGACCCGGCAGCTCGTTCTAGCGATCCTCATGCCGGCCTCATGCAATTCGCGCAGGCGCCGTCTGTGGTGATATATAATGACTAGAATAAGATCGGGGTTAGCTTACTTAGCCCAACAGATGCGGTGCAGCCGTCTGTCTTTCACCTGTTATTCTAAGGGACTACAGGACCGGTATCGCTGATTGATCTATACTGTGTGTAGTACCACAGCGGATGAATCCAAGTATGTGACGTCAAAGAACTGTGCATTGCATTCAGATAGGATCAGTCAGGCAGAACAAGAAGATTTGGAGATGATCAAGCTGAGCGGTTGATGAGTCTGGGACGAGTTTCCGACATCAGGACGATCGCCATTAATGTGTGACCAGGCATACACTGCCTTTTGGCTCTCTTGGCGAGATTATTGCCGTCGCTGGATGGTTTGGGCGTTGTGAACAGCCGATGGGATGCGGTCGACGAGCAGGCTAGCAGCTGAGAGATGGGAATGATGAGCTGGCTGGACGTCGAGGCGAATGTCGAAAGCAGTGCAACGGCCCATCCGAGACTCGTCGACGGCTCCCTCGGCCTGTCATCGCTATGTTTATCCGCGCAACAACGGACTTACATACGTACCCCGCCACACCTGGCAACTCCCATCTCCCTCTTTCCTTCTTCCCATAACCTTCACGCTCTTTACTTCCCTGGTCTGGGAGTTCGGCTGGGCCTTCGTTGCAACCGTCCAAGTGATTCTGGCTGGCCTGTGGTTGCATTTCCGTTCTTCTCGCTGCCTGTCTCGGTTTCAACCCGGTCTCTTCTGGTGATTCCAATTTCAAGTCGGCTTCTTAGGGCTGGTCCTCCATACTAAGCTTCATATCGCATGCAGAACTCTTCGCCATGCGCATGAACTTCGATCGTGTTCGCAGCCGTGTTCCTGTGCCCGCAAAGCTGAGACTTTTCGTGCGTCAGTCTTGCCTGCATGCCTGCTGAAACTCAACCGCTGCTCTTCTGCGTAGTGGGAGCGCATTACTTTGTCGCGCATAACGACATTTTACTTTTTATTCAGTGTCATCCACTTCACCATCCAACTTGTTCTTCAGATCCAGGCGTTCGTTATCAATGCTCAAGCTGCTTCTTTCCTGACCGAACTTGTCACCGAGGGCAATGCTTCCATGTCCGGATTTACCGTGTACCAGGGAGATCTTGTCATGTGCCAGTCCGCACCGAGTTCCATGAGCGCAAACTCTTGCGAGGTAGTTTGGATGGGTTCGTACACAAATAGCACATCCGACTTGATGCTCGGCTCTTCGAGCAACATGACTACCATGACCTCGTCCGCCTCTTCCTCGTCTGCCTCCTCGTTGACTACCTCCAGCGCGACAAGCTCGGCATCGTCGTCGAGCAGTCTCACCTCTACGACACCCACCTTTACTAGCAGTAGCAGCTCGACTGTTTTGTCTACTTCATCCACGCCCATTACCACGGCGACTACGTCTCACACCACTACGTCTACTGCCCCTACGGAGACACAGTCCCACAACGCGACTTCGACCCACTTCGTTACTGTGACGCTTCACGTCACTAAAACTGAAGCCACAGACATCGTTCGCATCACCACTGACACCGGAGATGACAAAAGCGCTCAGCCAACTGGTGTCGTATCTGTAAGTGTGTCTTACAACTTCATTTTTGCGGGGTGCTAAAGTACTATAAGCGTCACGTCCGCCGTGGAGGACCTAGTGTTCAGCCTGTCCAAATGGATGGCCAGACGTCTGTGAAAGTGAACGGTCTGTCCGGCACAAGTGAGGTCACCTTGGATCACACCTGCCTGTCTGTCCTTAACTGGCCTGTGTCGCAGTAAGGCGATCAAGCCTTCGTTCAGGGTAAATAGCTGATTTTTCCTTCCCTAGGCTGGACTTCACCAAACGTGAAGACATCAGTTATATCATGTTCCAGTTCTGGGTGCTCGCCATGTCCCTTGTAGCTTTGCTGAATGAGTCCGTCCCCCACATGTAAGGCATACCTTGTCTCCTCCATTCATTTGCGCTGAGCGCGATTCGACAGCATCGCGTCGCTCCTTGCTCACGTTGGCGCCACTGCTTGGGGAGTTTTCCAAATCGTGTGTTTCTACTCGTATTTCATATGATAACGCAATCTCACCCTCTGAATGCTCGTAGTACAATAGTGCTGAGTTCCACACCGATTTCAATAAGCTCACTACTCAAGGTGCATGTGGCGTGAACCTGCTTCCCACATACTGGAAGGAACGCTCCAATGCGGAGATCCCAAGTATGGCACTGAACGCTGTCGCTCTGATTGTCTCAGTCATCTTGTCGTGGAGACTTATCAAGGTTCCTCTTTTTCTCATATCTACCATTTGTGGATGTACGCTGATCATGTTTTATCAGCTATTTGGATGGCAGACTTTCAAGCGCGTCGGTGCCTCGCGAAGGATCAACCGTGTCTACACTATCGTGCTGTTCCTCTCAATTGTCATCCAGCTCACTCTGTTCCTCATCGCTCTCTCTTGTGGACTTTGGATCGACCAGCTCATGAATGGCACTATCGGTCATCTGACGCAGTACAGTGCGATCTTCAAGGGTGTTGATATTGTTTTGCTAATCGTGAGTAATCTGGTGGCATCAGTTGCTGTCAGTGTGACTTACATGCATTGCTAGTTCCTGATCCCTTGGCTCACTGTGGTAGGTTGTTTTATGACATGGGCTCATGTGGCTGTTGCTGATTCTTGTATTACAGGGGTGGATATCTGTCCGTCGCGAACAAAAGATCGCTATGTTGGTATTTCTCTTCGTGTCCCTGCTGTACCTTGGCGCATGGGGTGGTATGTTCGCCGCCGCTACGTTCCGCTGGACGTTCGTACAGTGGCGATTCTTCAGTATCATCGTTTCGGCAACTGTCGTCCTTTCTCTCACCACTTTCATCATGGGCATTGTCTGCCGAGTCAATTTCGGCAAGGGTTTGTCGCACTACCGTCAGTATCCGTCTCGTCGTTCTCGTCCACATGTGAGTCTGACCTTCGAAATTATAGTGAATGCACGGGAGCCCCTTACCGACGATTACAATAACTTCTTGCCCACCGCTATCGACTCTAAGTGCGGCGAGGACGTAGAGAAGGCTGAGTTCCCATCCAGCGAGCTGCCCATCCCAACCTACGCGGCTGCACTCTCTCCTACCGCCTCAATCAGTTCGGCGTCTATCGCACCCGCACAGCTTGGCCCTCGTTTCTACAACATTTCCGGGGGGCCGTTTGAGCTTCAACAAGACGCCTCTTTTTCCGATGCGGCGTCATCGCGCACAGCTGCGACTGACACCAACAGCCTAAAACGCAACCCCTCAAATATCAGTAATACTAGCAGCACGCAATCAAAGCGTTGGGTTATTGAATAAATTTCTGCTGCCTGATCTTGGACATCGGAAGATACTGTCATTTGATTTCTGTTCGTTTCTATCGTGAGTTTTGAATATCTATGCCTCTGTTGTAAACTACACATATAGCAACCGCTTGTATGATGAGTGAAGTGCTATGCAGGGGGACTGGTACAATCGGTGGATGACTAAGCTACACAAAATATAAGGTAAATTAGAAAAACATCTGACAACATTAGAATCACAGTTGATGATCGGGAACTTGTTCAAAGTTCAGCAACTCAGATTGACTGCCTGAGTACCCGATCGGTGTCTCTACAGGCGACATGCTAGGAGAAGCTGATATTATACTCTCGACCTGCTTTTCTTGTATAATAGCTGCTTGTCGAGCGACAGAGGCTCCGTCGTAAGTCGACTCTGAAGGCATTTCTACCGGGGGGCTTGTCGCAAGCTCGGCCTCTTCGTAGTTTTGTAATGCTACACGGAACTCGAGCATCCAAGGATGATCCATAAGTTCATCGGCCGTGGGTCGGTGTACAGGATCAATAGTCAAGCATTGACGGATAAAGTCAATACCTGTCTCACTGAGTTGACCTGGCTCTGGCAAGGGAGGATGCTGTGTTGCGACGCCGATGTGGAACATGATCGCCCTATCAGTGAGGCATTAGCATAGTCCAGATGACAACTTGTGGACGATGCCTACCATTCGTTGTCTAGATTGCTCCATGGCTTTCGGCCAGTCGCACATTCGAGCACGACACAACCCAAGGACCAAACATCCATCGCACCCTGTCTACCACGAGAGCTATTCCTAATGACTTCGGGCGACATGTACATTGGCGTTCCCGTAAGGCTGTTCTGTACACCCATGGCGCCGCTCCCTCCGGCACTAGGAGCTGTTGCATCCGAGACTCGGCGGGAACGTTGTATTGAACGTTGGTTCTTCGCCAGAATCTTAGCGGCACCGAAATCAACAAACTTGATGACGCCCATATGATCGAGAAGAACGTCTGGAAAATGCAATGAACAACAATAATTGAGCATGAAATTGGTACGTACTGTCTGGTTTGATGTCGCGATGTACGACCCCCTTGGAATGGAGATACGCCAAGCCCTCTAGCATCTGCATAGTGTAGACTTGGAGTATACCCTCATCTTCGATTCGACCGTGCTCAAGTAGGGCTGCCAGACTGCCTCCTTGACAGTACTCCTCGAAGATAAACACCTTGTCGCGATGCACCTCGATCCCATAATAATCGACGACGTTGGGATGGTGGAGCATTTCCATGACGTTCAACTCGTCCTTGATCTGTGAATACAAATTCGGCATACCGGCCACTTCTTGGAACTTGATTTCCTTGACAGCCATCAATGAGCCGGAGTCCAAGTTCACAGCCAGGTACACGGAGCCGAAAGAGCCTGCACCGATGAAACGACCCTGTTGCCAACGGATCGAGATATTCGAGGAAGACCCGGCAAGGAATACAAGCGAACGATCCACGAGCTTCTCTTCGTCCAAGACGCGACCAATCGTGTGTTGTTCGATTCCCACACGAGCTCGTTGTTCCTCCAATTCACGTCCGGCACGAGTAGTCTTCTCCCAAAACATTCGGATTATAGGATCTGTGTAAGCAACGGCGGTGTCGTCTTGCTCAGGAGGGATATCGTGGAGGTCCTCCTCCTTGTCAGTCTCTTCGCTGACAGCTTGCTGTCGAAGTAGCTCCTCCTGGCGCTCTTTTTCTTTCTTTGCTTCAATTGTCGAGCGAGCCCCAAGAATGTCAAAATGACTTATAAGCAAGGTCATGCAACTGGCTACCTTCTGCCTTAGCATTTCGAACTGATCGTCGGGCAGCTGAAGTATATTGTTCCGCTTTGTCCGATGCAGTGTGAATTCGAGTGCGGTCACCGCCCATCTGAAAGTCTTCCGATCGTTGGGATCGCAGTCGTCACAGATGAATGATACCCAGGAGATGGCCAATTTGATCAACAGACGATTGAACTTGAGCAACGTTGTGCGGTCCATGTGCTTCTGAACGTGCTGACCATGTTCAGATGCAAACCCATACCAGTTCTCCAATAACTCTTGATATCCGGTGGCCTCCTTCAACGAATTCCGTACATAGTGCACTGAGTCCACAATTGACTCCGCCAGCTTATTAGTGGCGCGACTAATCTTGCGCAACTCTCTGTTGACCGAGGGAAGATGCGCCTGTTGCTGCACGATACAGGTCAGGGGAGGAAGCAGCTGCTCGAGAGGTTCGCCATCTTCGTCAACGGGCGAAAAGAGGTCGTTGATTCTCTGCTTGGCGACGGCGAGTCGGTGTTGAGGACCATCGGCAATCAGGCGAACCCGATTGTCCTTCAGTTCGAGATCAAGTTTGGGGATCTGGAGCATGAGGACAAGACCATTCCATAGGAAATGGGTGCGCGGGGAGAGAACCAGAAGATAGACAGGCTCCTCATCCTCTTCATTTGGGTCAGGATCCCCACCTTCCACCAACCAGGAGGCCTCGTCAGTCTCATTGACATGGAAAGCTTCCAAAAGAATCCTCCGGATATCCTCTGGGCGATCACGAAGTGTATGGGGAGCGACAATATACGTGCCTTCCTCCTCAAACGTTTGTGTGTATACCAGAAAATGATCCATTTCCACAAGGAGGCCTACGAAGATATCCATGGGCACGTCTTCCAGGTCGTATTCCACAGAATTACTGAACCTGTGCGTGAGAACACTGGGATGCAAGCTCATTAAATATCAACTAAACATAGAACATTGCAGCTCACCGTGCTAATCGCTGAAGTTTTCGATATCGCTGCTTCACCCCATCCAGGATTTTAGAGTACCAAATGGTGCGCTGCTCGTTGGACATGACCTGCCCGGACGATACTGCTTTCATGTGCGATTGAAAAGCAGTGCCGTAGCTACCATTCGTCTTGCGATCAGCTGTTGGTCCAGGCTGTTGAACGTCGCCTATGATGGGAAAGCGTATTTGTGTGTCGAAATAGTTGGTCACTCGGACCATCAATTTATTGGTTAGTGCACTAGTGAGCTTGAGTCAACGAGTATCTGACCGTATGAGACTCCGGGCATACCATAGTTGCTCTGCAACGAGCGATGCACCACCCGGCACAGTAAGACTGATGTCGCTGAAGGTAGCCCATTGGGCTTCAATAACATCAGTCTCTTTGAAGTAGATTCCTTTCAGACCACTTTTCAATTTCCAGTGTATGAGCTTGAAAAAGAACGTCAAGGCATCCAAAATCACAGTGTCATAATCTGCGCTAATACACGGAGGCAATTTCCAATTGCCCCCGGGATCAGGGATCAAAAATGCTTCGTACTGCCTCTTGAGCGTGCACGCAAAGCCTATCTTCACCTTCAAATCCTCCAACATTTGGTCAATGATGAGGACATCTGGATTCTTCAATCTCTGCGCGTAATCTAGGCGCACGCGTAAGACCGCCTGTGCGAGGTTGGTCAGGAATGAGACAAGTGGGACTAGCTCCTTCTCGAACGAAGGGAGATTCATCTCTTTAAACATCGGCGCTAGATTGACGTGAGCGTCGCGAGTAGTACCAACAAGAGCATGAATGGTAGTCATAGATCCCTTCTCGAACTGTCTCTGGATGGACTCCTCCTTTAACAAGCGATCAACAAACGTGGTTCCATTTAGGTTTTCGCCTTGAGCATTCTGCGGGGGGTAAGGAATAGTGGAACCCGCGCTGGGTTTCGTGACGTCGAGATTCTCACTACCTGTCCACTTTCGTAGAAGATTGATGAGTTGACGGAGGGACGTAATAACCGTGGACCATGTATTGAGCGTATCGCAGCGAGATTGGAAAACCGGCTCGGACGCGACAGAGTTGTCCAAGCAGAAGGCTCGTAAGCTCGGATACAGTGAGTGGGCAACGTCGAGTCGATGAAGGACGGAATTGACTTGACGGAGAGCATGTGTCGCTGGAGACTCGGTGGAATCTGCAGGCATGTCACCGACTCGGAAGTCCATAATCTCCTTGATGACGGCGTCCACAGTCCACAGCCTTCTTTCATCCAGCCTTCTGCGCTCTTCCTCTACTGTCCTTCCATGCAGTCGCGCACGGATGCCTAACCAAATATCTAAGCGCAGGTTGTTCTCCTCTTCGGAGGATGACTTGAGCGCGACTGCAATGCGCGTATTCTCTGCCTTGAGCACCTCCCCGGCAAGCACAGAGGCGAGCATGGTTTGCCATTCGAGTCGCTCCTTGTCTTCCAGCGTTTCTGGCTCGATTGGCTCAGCATCGAGCATAAGCGAGGATAACCGGTCGGTATCGCTACTGCCGACCATACCTCTGATGTCCTCGTCGTCGCTGTCTCCAGCATCCTGGAGTTGTCCCAGCCCTCTCTGGTAGTAATGGCTGTCTGGATCATTGCGCGGATCGTCGTCGAGCCCAGCCCCCGACCGATATCTGCGGACGAACTGGTTGTAGACATTGGGATGTCGTTGGGAAAGAGTGGAAGAGGAAGCCTGGGATGGAGTAGAACTTGTTGGTCCTGGAGAGAAACCACTCCTCTGGCGTGTTTTAGTTCGCTTGGAGTGGACCGAGCTTAAAGACGAAGGCGGGGTTTGCTGAGCTCGACCTGAGGACCAGCTTCCTTCGTGTTCGTCGTCTGCGTCGTGCTCCGGATGAGTATAGAGGGTAGGGGTGTGTCGTTTCATGTGATAAGTCGCGCACGATGCAATAGAGAGGTGGACAGATGCCTCTGCAATGTGCACAGTGCACACTTTGAAGTGGCATGTACAGATCCTCGGCTCATGATCTCATGCTTACCGCAAGAGCGCGTGCATAGACGCGCGTGCATTCACTTGAGGCTTTGGCCACTGCGGGCTTGTCCAACAACCTCGCTGCAATCACTGGAAACAGGACACAAAGATGGGTATCGTAGAGAAGGTATATTCTGTTGTATCTATCGTGGTAGATTCTCTCACTGTGTTACCCTTTCGAAGATCAAAGAGATCGAGGGTGAGTGCCCGAATTGTGATACTGTCGTCGCATCGGAATGCATCGCAGCTCCCGATCTAAACGGTCAAATAATCCAATTTATCTACAGATGAGATGGCGAGGAGTCAGTACCCAATCGATTTATTGTGTCTTCGCATATTTTTAACCCATGCTACGAATAGCGCAGAAGAATAAGGCGAGAAGGCTACCCTATTGGATTCGACGAACATAGTGATCACAGACTCTCAATCAGGCTACGGAGTACCATTTGGGTCTGCTCAAGGCGAAACTTGCTCGGTACCGTGCACAGCTCCTTGAACCCACGACAAAGTCCTCCGGAGGTGGAAGCGGATTTGACGTCCAAAAATCAGGCGATGCAAGGGTTGCCCTCATCGGATTCCCTTCCGTCGGCAAGGTGATCCAGTCTCAATTTTATCCGAGACGGGAGTTTTGACTACCCGCATAAGTCAACGCTTCTGAGCAAATGCACTCACACTCAATCAGAAACAGCGGCGTATGAATTCACGACGTTGACCGTACGTATCTTATTCGGCGAGTAACGATACATCATCCGACGCTATTTTCAAGGCAATCCCTGGTGTCATTGAATACAGAGGAGCGCGTATACAATTGCTCGATTTACCCGGAATCGTTGAGGGTGCAAGTCAAGGACGAGGGCGAGGGCGACAAGTCGTCTCAACGGCTAAAACGGCTGATCTTATTCTGATAATGTTGGATGCCACGAAGTCAGAGGAGCAACGTCGCCTGCTGGAAATTGAACTGGACGCGGTCGGCATCCGTCTCAACAAGCGGAAGCCAGACGTCGTGTTCAAACGAAAAACAACTGGAGGCGTGAGTGGATTTCCCCCGTGCGTCTCGCCCTCTGTCATACGATCATTTCCTTTTGTTAGATCACGGTCAGTGCATTATATCTTCATGCAGGGTATCGATAATAATATAGACATATGCAGCTAAATACGACAGTAAAGCTCACAAAAACCGACGAGAGGACGATACGATCTATCTTAGCCAGCTGTCAATCTTGTCTTTCTGTCAGGGTGTAACCCGCACTAACCTTTAGTTCAGACAAGTTGCACAACTGTGACGTAATGATTCGAGAAGACGTAAGTAGGTACGCCACCCTGATGTACCCCCACTGACATCCCGGCAGATTACAACGGACGAGTTTATAGATGTTTTAATTGGTGACCAGTCTTAGTTCTCGTTGGTCATACTATCTGACAGCGCCCAGGAACGCGCAAGTATATGCCGTGCCTATGTAGGCGTTCCCTGTCTATATCCAGGTTCGAGCGCTCATATGTTGCCCAGATGTGTACAACAAAATCGATGCCATTAGCCTTGAGCAAATGAACAAATTGGCGCGTGATGAGCACACGGTCGTAATCAGCTGCGAAATGAATTTGAAGTAAGTTTTCCTAGTCGTGTCGCCAGACGGTACCTTTGATCGTTCTTCGGTAGCCTGGATTATCTGATAGAGCGGATGTGGGACGAGTTGGGGCTCGTCAAGGTGTACACGAAGAAACGGGGCGCACACCCCGATTTGACTGATCCAATATGCCTGCGCAGAGGCGCTGACATTGAAGTGAGTCGATTGATTAGTTGTCAGCCGCTCAAAATGAATGACCACGCGGATTTATCTATCAGGACGTGTGCAACGGGATCCATCGGTCGCTAGCCACTAATTTCCGCTACGCGCTTGTTTGGTGGGTCCTGAGATCCCGTTCTGTATTGTATTACTGCTGACTGTGCCCGCAGGGTGAGCCTATCTACATCTCCAAAAGTTGAATGTCCCCTGACTCATTCTCTGCTCCAGGGGAAATCGTCGAAATTTGCGCCTCATGCCCAGAAAGTCGGGCTGACGCATTTGGTGCAAGACGAAGATGTCGTGTCGAGTATGTGGAGCGTCGAATGTGTCACGACGAATAGTTCGCTTACGCTTGCTGCGCAGTTTTCACGAAGTAACCCCCGGATGAGCATCTCTAGAAGAGGAGTGTATCATGTTATCATACCGCTGTGTAGCACATATTCTTGTACCATCACATCTGTCAACGGCAGTGGGTTCGCGGTTCTGTCAGCCACTGTGCTAGTGTCCGTGGCGAGTCCGATGGCGCCAGTGAATTACGAGAGCGTGCCCTCCTTACGAACGATATGTCGACGCCGGAACGATTTGGTACGATCGGACAGACATCGGATCCCACGTGGATCGCGGAGGCAAGGCAGACAAGGCGCCTTGCAGTGCCTTCAGCGCGGCGCCGAACTTCACCAAAAATCCGGCCTACTATCTCAATCATGCCCACCACAGACTGTGGCTGTCAGCCACATCGCGCTATATAACGCCAGTGGTCTCGAGCTCATGGAAATGCACCTCCCGTCCCTCTCAGCGCCGTCCAAGATCTTTTAGACCATCCGGAGCATTTTGACCGTTGCCACCACTTCTGCTATGGGATCACTCGATTTTACTTCTCCTAGCTTTGATTCGTCCGCTGAGCTCATATTCTTGGGCACTGGCACGTCTTCAAGTCTTCCGCATGTTGATTGTTTGACCGCACCACCTGGAGCGAAACCTTGCCGGACTTGTCTCTCCACGCTTACTCCGGAGGGTAAGAAGAACATCAGGGTTGGCTTCATAAGTTTCCCTCTGCATCATCGTGGGTGTTGACGCGATTCACTTTGCTTAGCGCAACACTTCAGCTGCTGTCCGGCTACGTGCAAAAGACGGAAGTGATGTGTGCGTGCAAAGCCAGCTTTCGTGATAATCATTCTGACACAGTGTCTCAGCACCATAATCATAGACGTCGGAAAGAGTTTCCAACCCGCCGCAGTAGAGTGGTTTCCGAAGTATGGCTTGCGCCGGATAGATGCTGTTCTGATAACACATGCGCACGCTGATGGTAAGTTTGGACACCAATTTTTCATTCCTCGCGGTGTGCTCAATCTCTCTTAGCAATGAATGGCCTGGACGATCTAAGAGGTGGGTGCCCTGGCTATGACCGATAAATGCGGATCTGGAATCGCGGACTATCACAGGATGGACTTTACACGGCGTAATACAGCCCCACATTGATTTATATGTATCTATGGCGACCTTCAAGGAGGTCCAGCGAGCGTTCCCGTATCTCATATCGAAGGAATTTGCCTCCGGTGGTGGTGATGTAGGATACCATCACAGCCCTTGTTGCGATGATGCTAAGCTTCGTTTACGCCAGGTCCCTGAATTCAAGTGGCATATTATCGAGGACCGCGTGCCCTTTGAAATAGGAGACACTGGCATACAGATCACACCCTTTGCTGGTATGTCGCCGCATCTGTTTATACTAGTGTCGACGTGTCTTATCACTCCGGCAGTACATCACGGGCGCATTTTTACGCCCTCTCCTCCCCTTGATGCCTCCATGTCCGCCACGCCCTACTCTATCTCGCCGGCCTCCACAAATGCTTCTACTCCCAGTGTGCCTGGGACACCAGTCCACGTTCCAACGGCAGTTCCCACGGAACCTGTCAAGCAGATCCAACCTTACCTGTGCTTCGGCTTCATTATCCAGGATGCCATAACCTATCTTTCCGACGTTTCTCATATCCCGGAGGACGTTTGGGCGATGTTGAAATCCATGCGTCGCATCCCGCCGCTATTCGTCCTTGACTGTCTGCGGGTACAGCCACACCCCTCACATCTCAGCGTTACGGAGGCTGTCGCAGTAGCGAAGCGTATGAACGCCCAGCGGACGTACCTGCTTGGCTTCACACACGACCTTGCTCACGATGACTTTGTAACGATAGGGGAAGCGGCTGGGGGAAAGAAGTTGGAGGATGCTGGTCTTTCCCTCATTGAGCGACACGGGCTATCCAGCATACAAGAAGATCGAACCATTTGGACTCGGCCTGCATATGACGGACTACGAGTGTTTGTTTCTGAGGAGGGACTCGTACGAGATGAGTGTTATCGGTGATATTCTGTCCGACTATTTTCAAGAGTGATTGTCATTCAACTTGAAATCATGTATATACGGAACATGATTAGGGCCAGCATGCGCATGTGTATACTGTAATCTTAGTCCGGCGCGTACGATCTCCTCGCGGAGGCCATGCGCCTGGGAGCGGCTGGTCGTGGCTGGTATGCCGTGGCTGGGAGCTTTGCAATCCTTCTGTGAAATAGATGCAGAAGCCAGGTCATGCCCCGCAAGAACCAGGCAGAACCAGGCGAACTCTATTGATGAGGTCACGTGTCGCGGAGACTTCTCCGTAACAGGCATTGATCCCTCCGTTCAGGATTCCTCTTAGGAGTGGTCATCTGGCCTGCGAGGTCTCATAACGTTAACACCACCCTCCATTCAATCTCCTCGCTCTCCAAGCTGTTCTCCGTTACATCGCTGGATATCTACCTGCCGCCGTGAACCATTCCGGGATCGTTTGCTGCAATGAGGTTCTATTCGCAGTCCTTCTTGTACGAGTAAGTTCGGCAGTGGTCAACGTCAGTCCCACATGTCTCAATGTGTTCATCGTGCAGCGATCCCTGGGCCATCGTCTCCTATGCATTCTTTATGAGATACCCCAATCCACTTGCATCTCATGTTTTGTCTTGCGACGTCATCTCGCGCACGCTCTCCCCGTCAGGCTCGTTGGTGACGACGCGGCTTATTCTCAAGAGTGGTGCTTTGCCAAGATGGGCCCCGAAGGGCATGATCTCGCGTGCCGAGTCCTGGGTTGTTGAAGAGAGCGAAGTCGACCCTGTTGGGAGGACTGTCCGGTGTACAACGAAGAATCTTGATCACGTCAAAGTGATGAGAGTGGAGGAGCGCATAATCCTTCAGCAGACTGAGGATGGGTCAGTTGTTTGCTTACCGTGTCGCAGCACGCAGTTTCGCTCATCTGTGTGCGCTAGCAAAACGGTACAAAACACTGACGCTAGATTTGTGTCTGGCTTTGGGTGGGGCTTGACGAAGAAGATCGAGAATCACGGACTTGCACGGTTCAAGGCAAACATTCAGAGGGTGAGTTTGTGTTCATATATATCCCTTCCTCATTTATTCATCCACCTCATAGTCCCGACAAGGCTTTCATATGATACTGGATTTGATTCGCCAGTCGCGTATGCAGCCTATGACTATGGGTACAACCGCTGCTTACATGTCCTCTCCTTCGTCTGCGGAATCGTCCCAGCCGTCTTCGGCGGCGAGCCCGAGTGCTACCGCGGAAGAGAAGGGTCGTAGGTCATGGTTCACTCTTAAGTCTTGGGTAAGATCGTGAAAAAACAGCTTTATTTAATCAAAGACAGTACTATTGCACTAGTTTATTGCTTTTCCTGATTAGTGGACGTTCCTTTGCTGTCCGTGTGTCTCATAGGGTTGATGTGCTCTCTCCCGTGTGTGTATTTGTAGCATTGTCATGTCAACATTCGTGAATCGTATACAAATCCCCGATCACACCGTGGCGTTAAGCCGCTCGAGATTTCGCTGCTCGCGTTGAGAGCTTGAGCGTGTTGTTGTGTGCTGTCGTCCTGCTCAGTAAGTTGTTCTACCGCCGTCCACTCGTCCCATGTCCATCAGTGAAGTTCGACCTTCTCATAGTACCATACCAGCCGCCTCGACTGCCATTGTTCGCATTCATGATCAATAGTCTGTATCGGACCGGAGAGCATGTACTTCCCGACATCTGCTGCACGACAGCTCTCGACTACCCCCGCTCTGCCTGTGTCTAGCGAATTTGTCGTCTGCCTCTCTGCGAGCCCGCGTAAGAGCCTGTTCTGCACACTAACGAAGAGCGGGCTTTCCATATGGCGCATCCGAGTATGTCTATGTGCTCCTGGAGTCGGAATGCAGCATGATAAGCATTGGGTTTGTAGCCATCTGCAGTGCTCGCGCACCTGTCGCGCACCTCGACGTCGCTGGTAGAGCATGGCGAGAACGTGTCGATGAGCTGGGCTCCCAGCGGGCGGAGGATCGTCATCCAGGTTCGTATATGCTGTATCGGGTCGCGGATGTGGAGTCCAGAGTCTCATGTCTGTTTGGGTTGTCGAACTAGACCACACAGTCGTTTCTTGTCCTCGTTACGGTGGAATTTGATACGGAACAGGTGCTATACCAGTCAACCCCACTCGCACAAAATGCTCAGCGTCACTTTCTGCTTGGCCCTGGAGAAGCCTTTCCCCTGCACGCCATAACTTTGCACCTCGAAGGCGTGATACGACTAGAAGGAACATTACTAAGGTACGTGGCTGCCGCTTCGCTCTTTGATCTGTATTTATACAGACGCAGTGTGTCACCTCGGGATGATTATATTCAATTCTCAACTAGAGGCCCGCCTGCAGTGCAGCGCGTACCATGGCCGGGGACACAGCGCGACGACATGTATGCTACGTGGGTCTTGAATGACGAGGAATTTCCTTGGCTCGAAGACTCAGATGGTACGAATTAATGAGAGAATTGTACACACGTCTTAACTCTTTATGATGTTCAGTGACTGTGTCACAGATCATGCAGTCCAAGGCCACAGGTTTTGAGACATGGATCCCATCCGATGGTAGGGCATATCTTGTTCAGTTATGTGAGTCCGAAGAAGAA